TATTGGTCAATCAAGTGACCCATTCCCCAATTATGTAACTTTATATTTTCAGCCTCTTGGCTGCCATGCTCTTTTCAAAATTTCAATAAACTGGTTATTATTATTATTATTATTATCATTATATTAGTATTATTATACACACACACACACACACACACACATGCGCACATTCTACTCTTATAGATCTAACATTACTGATTTCGACACCCTCAGTACCTACACCCGACACACCAACCTCAACACTCCCCGACTCGACAGCTCCGTTAGCCACCCCATTCCATCATACCCCTGCAGGATGCTTTGCCCCTTCACCATCATACGCGACATACCACGATTGTCGTACTTCTGATGCCGCAACACAACGTCACTCACGCCGACTGTTACTTGATACGACCACTATCATCGACCGCACACTGTCATGAACTTAGACTGTCATGGGGGCTTGACTGACATGATAAACTGGAATGACACTAAACATAAATGAATTTTGACTGGTATGCCTTAAACTGACATGCCCCGAGATCGGCATGACGGTAAACAAACATTAACTTTTACTGTCATGACTCTAAAGTGACAATAAAATAACATGACCTTAGATTGATATGGCAGCAAACTGACATGAATTTTAATGGCGTGATACTTAAATTGACATGAACTTACTAATATGACAGACTGCTTCCATGACTTTTGACCGACCTGACAGTAAGCTGGCATGAACTTTGATTTTCACGATACGTAAAATGACTTGAACGAAGACAGGTATGATGTACTGCATTTTAAGGCTGGTATGACAGGTAAATGACAAGAACTTTGACATGACACTTAAATTGAGATGATGAGCCAACTCTTCGTTAACAGCTTCTACCCCAGACATTATCTTCACATTCGTTTATAATGGTGACAACATTCGACCTTAGTTAAAACGCTCCACTACCACCACCTGATATAGCACAGTTGGAACTTTTAAACTGGCCGAGACGTTTAAAATTATTTGAAAGACTTGGTTAGAAAAGAAAGAAAAAACTTTTGATACCAACTCAAACGTTTGGACCCAGTTAGATTGTTTGATAGCAGCTGAAACGCATCATACAAAGTGAAACCAGATTTTATCTCAGTCGAAAAAACAAATTTAGTTTAAATATCTGATATCATATGAAACTTGTAAGTGTACGATACATAAAAAACAAAACAATCTCAAACATCTCAGTGACCCTTGTTGGCATTTAAGGACCTCAGCTTAAAGACACTCCAGCTTATATTACCCGATGACAAAACACCCTAACAATAACCTAACCGAACCCCATTTCTCTAAGGTACTGTGAGGGTTTTTAATCATCAGGTGAAATAGGCTAGGATGCCTAATTTTCAGGCGATTCGAAAACCCTGACGTGGAGTTACGATTTCACACTCCTAAGGTTCAAGACAGTGTACCCTAGGGTGACCCCAAGAAATGCGTGACCCCCTCTTGAAACGCGTTATTCTCAGCCAGACATCTGACCCTTCCGTATATGGTGGGTCACGATGACTAAAATCACTTACGACCCAGGAAGGAAGACTTGTGGGACACCAGGCCAAGAGTCCGTATTCACTAAGATGACTAATACGTTAATCCCTCCCCCGACTAGTAAACTTATCTAGCTAAAGAGTCTCGGCGTAATTTTGACTCCTTTAGTGCTTTAGCTAGTTGGATGTATTCTTATATCTCACTTACGAGGGAATTTATTCACCGTAAGAGCCTTTGTGTATTTCGGGTCTCTGCCTCCTTTTTTGGAGAGATTTTGTGGTGTTACTCCGAGCATGGGACTATCTCCACCCTTTCCTCCCCTCTCCGTCTCTCTTCTCTTTCCCCTTTCTTCCCCCCTCCTCCTCCTCCCTTTTGTCTTTTCCTATATCCCTTATCCTAATACATTCTATAACTTAGGATTCTTCTCAAATTACACCCTTCCTCATCTCCCTTTTCTTCTTTTAGACCCCTCCCCCTCTGTTACCTCATTGTCTCCCCTCCTTTATCTTTCCTCCGTCTCCCCTTCGTCCGCATTCCTGGAAAGTATCATAACACCCCTCCCTCTTTTCTTTCACTACTTTTTCCTGTCTCCCCTACACTCCGTCCCACCATACATAATAAGTATGAGTATGTGTGTGCATGAGTGTGTGTATGTATGAGTGCGTGGGGTAGGACAAAGGTTGTGGGGTATACGAGAACACAGGCAGTGGGTGCTGCTGTTGTTGTAATAATGTTATTACTGCGCTTTAACAACTAAGGTCATTAAGCGCGTTGGTAATTACACTATTCACTCAACAATTACACATTTTGAAAGATAAAACTTTCGTGATTAGTGGGTGTATGAGGACAGGTAGTGGGTGTATGAGCGAGAGAAGACACAGGTAGTGGGTAAAGTTGGATCCACTCCCGCGTTTACCACTTAGCGTTGCCAATGCTCTTATCTAGAGTTGTGAACCCTGATCTCTAGAAGTGTGAATTCGAAGCATTCGCTAGTGAGCCGTAGGGTGAGGGTAGGAGTGTGTCGGGGTAGGTGTCTTTTTGTGAAGGGAGAGACGGAATACTGGGGGAAGACGGGGTACTGGGGGAAGACGGGGTTCTGGGGGGAGACGGGGTCGGGGGAGACTCGGGGGAGACGGGGTACTGGGGGGAGACTGGGCACTGGGGGGAGACTGGGCACTGGGGGTAAGGAAGGAGAGTGCACAGTATATCAGTTGGGAGAGATTACAAGGCAGAATAACACTTTGACCATAAACACGGGGTTTCTTCAGCTGCGTGTAATCATCTCGTGCTATTGGCTGGGTAGGTCAATCACCCCGCCCCACTTCGCCTGCTGCCCGTCCTACTTGTGGAGTCAATCTGGACCTTCCCACTTATGAGTCACTCTGCGTGCTGCCGGCCGAGGCCTGCTACATGCTGCGCACTGCTACTGTTTCTGAATGCTGCACACTGCTACTGTTTCTGCATGCTGCACACTGCTACTGTTTCTGCATGCTGCACACTGCTACAGTTTCTGAATGCTGCACACTGCTACTGTTTCTGAATGCTGCACACTGCTACTGTTTCTGCATGCTGCACATTGCTACTGTTTCTGCATCCTGCACACTGCTACTGTTTCTGCATCCTGCACACTGCTACTGTTTCTGCATCCTGCACACTGCTACTGTTTCTGCATGCTACTGTTTATGCATGCTGCTGCTTACTGAACGCAACTACATACAAAAGTGGCAAGTGAGCAGCTTCATAACGTTCTTGCTGTAGTGGATTCGAATTCACCAACAATTTCTTACGTTGAATATTTCTCCTAAAAACGCATCTTCAGTTTGACTTTAAAGTGAAATAACCTCCAAATAAATATCAGAATGACAGCGGGACTTGATATTTACTAGATAAGATCACGTAGCACTAGTGAGCAAACAAAACTAAGTTAGACTCACTGTAAATCCGACATCCGATTTGTACATAAATCACATACATTAATATTATCCATTTCACGTTTAGATTTGATTGCATTGCTTATTAGTTTGGATCTCATGATGATTAATACTCCCCAGCTTATTTCACCTGATAATTAAATGTCCTAACGCTACCTGGAAGGACTATGTTATGTTTATGTGAGGTTAGGTTAGATTAAGTTATCATGGTGTTTAATCATCACGTAAATTAGGCTGGAGTAACTAATCTTAAGTTGGTCCGAATCATTGGGTCCTATACGACGCCTAGCGGAGCGACCCGTAATGTGGTACAGTTACATCTGGAGGGGATTAGCTCCGGGAAGGGCAAGGGCCACAACGTCACCCTAGTTTGCTTCCAAACAATAGGTGGTCGCTAAATTTATCTCTCAACATCAGGTGGTCGCTAAATTTATCTCTCAACATCAGGTGGTCGCTAGATGTAGCTCCCAACATCAGGTGGTCGCTAGATTTTGCTCCCAACATCAGGTGGTCGCTAGATTTAGCTCCCAACATCAGGTGGTCGCTAGATTTAGCTCCCAACATCAGGTGGTCGCTAGATTTAGCTCTCAACATCAGGTGGTCACTAGATTTAGCTCTCAACATCAGGTGGTCGCTAGATTTAGCTCCCAACATCAGGTGGTCGCTAGATTTAGCTCCCAACATCAGGTGGTCGCTAGATTTAGCTCCCAACATCAGGTGGTCGCTAGGTTTCACTCTCAACATCAGGTGTTCGCTAGATTCACAAGTCAGTTCTTCTCAGCAACCGATAATTACTACCTTTCCCTCTCAGCATCGGGTGGTTGTTAGTATCAGCGTCTTCCCGCACTTGAGGGTCCTTGTTTTATCTCAGTATTTCAGCATTTTCATGGCTGACGGAGTCCCTCGTCAAGATTTGGATGATCACGGGCAAGGAAAACTTGATGGGATTCGTGTGTGTGTGTGTGTGTGTGTGTGTCTCTGTGTGTAAGCCAGGGTAGGAGGTGGTCTATTGCCAACAGAGGCTAACTGAAGGATGATAATTATACCTGGAGATAAAGGTTTAGACAGGAAGAATTTATTGGCTGAAAAAAAAAATTGATCCGATAGACATGAGACTGGCAACCATTCAGGCAGTTGTAAAGTCGACAGCCTCCTAGTAGACAGGACACTGACAGCCTTTCGTTAGATTCCACCACCTTGTTCCAGAAGTGGCCTAAAACTTCGAGGTAGATGTAATACCGACCGTAAACTACTTCCGGGTACTCATAAGACTTCCTCCAGGGACACACAAGACAGCCTTCCGATATAACGGGACACACCAGACGGGCGGTTACCCAGTTTGGGGAGTGGAAGAGGGTCATCTGGTGGCTGGGCAGGTTTTTGTTATGGTGTTGTGTGGCGGCCGCTTGTGGGTCATCAAGGTGCTGGGTAACCCCCCCCCCCCTCACACACGGATAAGTTCGATGGGCAGATTTAGATCAATCTGATGGGTTACCATATTTGGATGACAAGTGATCAACTTCACAGGATTTGACCCATATTTTTATCTCCTTCCTCCTCCACAGATTTACTGGCGGTGTCGCAGTTCCCGGTGTTCACGTTGTACGCGCAGAAAGTGTGTTTTCCCTCTCAGCGACCGGGCTGTGCCTCACCCTGGGCCTACGAGACTGTGCCTGGCCTCACCCTCAACGGTCTCTTCATGGCGGACTCGCAGGTCGCAGCCACCAGGGGCGAATGTGCTCTCCTGTGTATCCAGGAGGACAGGTTCATCTGTAGGTGAGTGTGTAGGGGGTTTGTGTATCGGCAAGGTATAGGCACAGTGAAATGCAATATGGGAGATGTAGACTATGATGAAAAGTGGCGAGGAAGAGGAAGGGCGTGAAGGGATGTGCCGATAAAGAAAATATAAACAAAGGCAAAAAAGTGAATGTTAGATAGACTATGTGAAAGAGGAAGTGTGAGAGATGTGGGGGAAGACTACAGATGGATCTCCTACGAGATAAATGAGGTCTCTTCTTTTCCATTCCCTGCAGAGCCGCATCATTCAACTCCGCTGATTCCACCTGCATACTGTCACAGGTAGACCGCAACATGGCTGGTCGTAAGCGTCTGCTGCAGATCAGTGCCAAAGTCGATTATCTGGAGGTCGCTTGCGTCCCGAAGCCGCAGAAGATGTGTGAATTCCAGAGTTTGAGGGGCAGCATCCTCAAGACGGTGGACGCCGTGTACCAGGACGTCAATACCACCCAGGAGTGCAAAGAAAGGTATAGTAGTCACCTGCACCTGTCCCCCGACCACCCCTGTCCCCCGACCACCCCTGTCCCCCGACCACCCTTCTCCATGACAACGCCTGTTCAAAGCTTTCCTTTTGTCATAACGTCTCTTTAATCAGGGGTGTGCTGCCTGTATCGTAACACTGTACTGCCCCGGCGAGTTACTGTAAGGGGAAGATACCTACAAGACTAGATCCATTCGAATCATTAATAGAAAGTTATTATACCACGCACTACCTGGCAATACATCACAGCCGCTAATTATATGGCTTGGTTTTGTTGACAAGTCTCGAAAAACCGAAATGTTGACTAACTTTAAAATACCCATTTTTAAGTTCTTGTAATTCCATTACTGTTACCAGTGAAATAAAATTATTGTATTTTTTAATTACAGTAAAACATGAAGTTGCCATATTATTTAAATTAAGGCATTTATTAAACAATTCCTATGTGTATGCAGTCTGCCATTATGCGTTTTTGTAATTGTGACAAATATACGGTAATACTCTGTTGGTCTACGTACGGTATCTATCAGACCCAATCCTTTCCACCATCCGCAGATGTATGAAGGCCGACTTCGCCTGCTACTCATACGACTTCATGTCCGCCGGGGAGAGGATCTGCCGCCTCTCTCACCACTCTTCGGCCACCCTCGCCCATATCCAGGAGCCCTACCTCGAAATAGAGAACGCCACTACCTACGAGATGCAATCCTGCTATCAGGTGTGTTACTTGCAAGCGACAGGTATGACAGCTTACGTTATTCACAGGCATCGAGAACAACAGTTTACATTACCTTCAGCGCCAAGGATGATAATTATAACATCTGGCTAAATCATCCACCTTTCTTGACCTTTTGTTCCTGAATACATGTTAGTGACTCCATTTTGTTACTCACTTGTTTCTGATCTCTTATACTTAACCCCGTGTCTCTTATCTTCTGTTCTTTAACGGAGTATCGTTTCGCAGGTGACTGTCGAGTGTCGAGGGGCGGAGATGTTGGCTCGTATCTCTACATCGACCTTGTTCGACGGCAAGGTGTACGCCAAGGATCACCCCAACTCATGTGTCATCGACGTCAAGAACACCACCGACTTCCAGATCACACTCCCGTACAATGACCTCGACTGTGACGTTGCCCAGGAGGGCCCCGGTGTCTTCTCCTCCAACATCGTCATTCAAGTAAGTCATGCTTGACGTCCCAACCTTTTAAGTCAGTTTTAGAAAACAACTCGTTATCTATTTGCATTATCACCGACATGTGTCATCTAGGAGTTTAAGTTTGGATGGGCATCATCAAGTGGGTTCTGGCCATGACCTGCGTCATTCACGTTCCTTATAACTAACATCTTAGTCATCCAATCCCAGATGAACTGTAGCTTATACTCTAGGATCAAGGCTTAGTGTATACTTGCTTGCCTCAAATCACTTATTTCCTTTTAAAATACATCTATATATCCTTCATGCAACTTGAGATTGTGTAAAAGTTTGGCTTCTAGCGTGGACATACAATACACTAGGTGTTGACAACTTTTCATTCAATATATACCGAGTTGTGCAATTGTTTTTATGAAACAGCATTGCATGCTAGATGTCTTTCCCAGCAAAATATAAGAAGCACAGCACGAAAAAAAATAATAAACTGACAACAGCCCGCAAGTGGAAACAGATTTCCATCACGACAGAAGCACGTCACATCCACGTCTTAATCCCCACCTCTTTCTCCCCCATAGCACCACGATATGATCGTCACCGCAGCTGATCTAGGTCTCGCCCTCCACTGCAAGTACGACCTCCAGAACCAGACGGTCACCAACTCCCTACTGTCGGGGTTGACTGTTAAGAGCGGCATCGACACAGCCGAGTTCTATGAGGAGACCATCGTCGAATCCCCCAACGTGGTGATGAGGGTCACTGACCAACAGGGTGAGGACATCATCTCGGCCCAGGTAAGTCGTCAACTGTGGTTCTTAAGTCTGCCAAGAGAAATGCTCAATCCCGCCAAATGTTGAGGGAGGTAGAGGTCACTATCAAAGTAGAGCTGAGGAGGGAGGATCACTATCAAGGTAGGAGTGAGGGTCACTATCAAGGTAGGGGTGAGGAGTGAGTCACTATCAAGGTAGGGGTGAGGAGTGAGTCACTATCAAGGTAGGGGTGAGGGTCATTATCAAGGTAGGGGTGAGGAGTGAGTCACTATCAAGGTAGGGGTGAGGGTCATTATCAAGGTAGGGAAGGGTCGTGAGAGACTATCAAGGTAGGGTTGAGGAGTCACTATCAAAGGGTGAAGAGGGAGGGTTACTATCAAGGCAGGGGTGAAAGTGAGGGTCACTATCAAGGCAGGGGTGAGGAGGGAGGGTCACTATCAAAGAGGAGTGAGGAGGGATGGCCACTATCAAGGTAGGGGTGAGGAGGGGTGGCCACTATCAAGGTAGGGGTGAGGAGGGATGGCCACTATCAAGGTAGGGGTGAGGAGGGATGGCCACTATCAAGGTAGGGGTGAGGAGGAAGGGTTACTATCAAAGAGGAGTGAGGAGGGATGGTCACTATCAAGGCAGGAGTGAGGAGGGATGGTCACTATCAAGGCAGGAGTGAGGAGGGAGGGTCGCTATCAAGGCAGGGGTGAGGAGGGAGGGTTACTATCAAGGCAGGAGTAAGGAAGGAGGGTCACTATCAAGGCAGGAGTGAGGAGGGAGGGTTACTATCAAGGCAATTCTTAACACTTCTTCCCAAAGTTTCTATAACATTTTCTCTCCTTCCCCAGGTGGGCGACAACTTGGCCCTGCGTTTCGAGATCACTGATGAAAGCAGCCCTTATGAGATCTTTGTGCGAGAGTTGGTGGCCATGGACGGTCAGGACAACTCCGAGATTCTCCTTATTGACGAAATAGGTTGTCCCACGGACACTACCATCGTGCAGGCTGTTGAACAGGTAGGTTGACCACTAACATAATCCTCACACACACGTACCATACTCTAGACTGATACAAGCTAGCACAAGTGAATTACTTGGACAGAAAGACACTGAGGAGATGAATAAGGATATTGAATTTTGTGTTATTCATTGAAAAGGCGATTCATTCCTTAATCTGGAAATTCAGAACGACGAACTGACTCCCAGCCCCGCCCATGATATCACAATAACAGTATCCTAGTGGCTAGAGAAGAACAACTGTTATTAGGTTACTTACCCCTGGGTAGTGTGTACACGAAGACGTCACATTGTTTCAGAAGACAAGTAGGAATTTCTTTTTTAACGTTGGAATAAACACTAATCGTCATATGTACTGAATTTCACACGAAAATCTACCATAATTAATCACATACACAAATCACGAATAAAAAATAAGTTTCTTGGATGCGGTAAAACCGGACAAACGCACAGATAACTAACCTCTGTATAGACAGTCTGAGCCTCTGAAGTCCCCTCCAGGTGGGTTGCCATACAATCTAATTTTTAAAGCCGCCAGCCAATCACAGACCTCGGTTTGTGCTCTCGACAACTGGAACAACGTAATTTTGCAAACTAGAGTTTAGTGGAGTAGTTACCAAGGCTTTCAAGACTTACTCTGAAAATAGGAGTAAAATAGCTCTGGTAAAAATAATAATATGATCAATAGTGATAATTAATGATAGTGGTAATAATGATAAAACATAGTGGTACATTACCTTACATGTACGTGCACCGTCCCAAATACCACGTGGTAAACAAAACAACAATTTGTAAAAACAAAAAAAGAGGAAAACGTAGCCTGAGATTTCACTCGGGTAAGCGAGAAAAATCCAAAAAGAAAACAATTCAACCAATAAGTACCGGACTCGCTCACTATTGGCGCAACACTGGTGACAGAATGAAGGTGGGGGAAATGTACAACAACAACAACATCAATAATAATAATAATAATAATAATAATAATTACGTATAGTTCATGATTAGGACAACGTTAACTGACCTATATAATGGCCGCCTCTCCTAAGGCTTGACTATGGTGTTTTATCGCACGAGGGAGAGTTTTCAACTACCGTAAATTTCTTTATAAGGGCTGCCGGTGTCAGTACGGTCAGCCCCTCACCAACGCAGCTATGATCAGTTCTTTCTTACTCTTGTTTTAGTAATTTTTGTAAGTGTGGGCGTGTGGAGTATCTGCAACATTGAAGGCAGCGTTTGGGCGTATCTGCGCGTGCAGGAAGGCGTCAGACACACGCCCTGTTCACTTGTACTCCTTATTCCATAATACAGTACTAAAGTAATATGTATATCTGATATCAATGATGATAACGATCGCTACTCTTATTATTATTATTATTATTATTATTATTTCTAACGTCATCACTGCCGTTAAAAGAAACGGTCACCGTTGCGTCACCATTATTAACAAGCCAACGTAATCTTCCCAGATATCACTACTTATCACCACCATTGCTTCACCATTATTACCACCATTGCTTCACCATCATCACCATCATTGCTTCACTATCATCGCCACCATCACCACCACCATTGCTTCACCATCATCACCACCATTGCTTCACTATCGTCACCACCATCACCACCACCATTGCATTACCATCATCACCATCATTGTTTCACTACCATCACCACCATTGTTTCACCATCATTACTACTCCTCAGGTGGTGGGCGGGAAGGTTCTACACGCGCTCTTCCAGGCTTTCAAATTCCCCGCGTCAGGGGTAGTGCAGTTCCGGGCTTTGGTGACTCCCTGCCTGCCTGTCTGTGAGCCCGTACAATGCAGCGTGCAAGGCTTCGACGGCGTCGCGCGGATTAAGGACTCCTTCGGCAAGCGTAAGAAGCGAGAGGTAAGTGAGAGAGAAAGGATATGTGAATGAGGAAAAAACAAGAGGTGGATGTGGGGGAAGTGGCTGGCGATGAAGGGTAAATGGAAAGAGAAGGCGAGGTGTGTGTGTGTGTGGTTATTTTCAATAACTAATAAAGTTGTCATGAAAACCATTAAACAAACTTAACAGAAAGAACTAATGATAATGTTTTCATGTACAGGTGCACGAGACAGGAATCATGGTGGCACAGTCCGTCCATATCACTGACAAGTTTGAGTTCTCGGCCAGCCAGACGGAGGAGGTCGAGGTAGAGGTGGCCCAGGGCAGCTGTTCCTCCTTCACTGGGGTGGTGGTGGCATGTGCCCTTTTCCTAGCCGCCCAGCTGGTGCTGCTGATGGCCTGGAGTTATCTCTGGCACAAGAAGAGAGCCACCAAGCAGATCGACCCTAACCCACCTTCCTCTCTCTACTTCGGCACCTCCTCCCGCACCTCTTCCACCTCCTACCTCACCGACTAGCTACCTGATTCCCCGACCCATGCTGGAGAAGTCTTCCTCAACACAAGCCATAATAATGTATAAGTCAAATTCCTGATTGACAAAATCAACAGCTTTGCAAAAAATAACTTGTCCTTACCTTTGAGTGATTTGTTACTATCGATGAATCTTCCGTGTGAAAAGTTATAGATATAATCTTTTTCAGGTGAGTTGGTGCTGTTTAGAATATTGGTCTATTTCTTGTTCAGGATGGCTGACGTCCTCCTTGTGTCTGGTGTTGTGGTCATATTTCTTCCAAATCTCTACGATGGGCATATATATTTTTTCTTGTGATGGCAATATATATATATATATATATATATATATATATATATATATATATATATATATATATATATATATATATATATATATATATATATATATATATATATATATATATATATATATATATATAAAACTTTATGATGGGCATATAACGAATATTGTGGGGGGTAATCTAAGTGGGTTTGAAGTTATTTCCAATGAAAATATTTGTGTTCTTGTTGCTCTCAAGTCTATGAAATATACTTATACTTCAAAGATAGATAAAGACTAACAATTGAAGGTTATTAGTATCAAATCAAACAACAGTATTGTCGTAAACAAATAAAACTGACTTTTCCGTCCGGTTATGTGATGCCTTAACGTGTTTCTTTTCCAGGATGAACAGGTACATGTAGGTAGTAGACCTTTAAGTTACTCACGCGATCATATCTGTTCGTCCTGGAGAAATAACATACCATTGAGGCTCTGAAACTCTCTTCGCTTCAGGTGATCCGAAAACTGTTGGAGAAACAATACTTATATCTTATGAGAAGACTCTCACGAGCTAGATAATCACAATTTAGCATGGTAATTTTCACTTACCACCATATTACTTATTAAGAGGAGTTTCCAACCAAACACATAATTGAGACTTCCTTACAAAACAGCCATCACAGACTCAAGACGACTCCCTCACAGACTCAAGACGACTCCCTCACAGACTCAAGACGACTCCACAGACTCTACAACGACTCCCTCACAGACTCAAGACGACTCTCTCACAGACTCAAAACGACTCCCTCACAGACTCTAGACGATTTCCACAGACTCAAGACGACTCCATAGACTCTAGACGACTCCACAGACTCGAGACAACTCCCTCACAGACTCAAGACGACTCCACAGACTCTACAACGACTCCCTCAAAGACTCTAGACGACTCCATAGACTCAAGACGACTCCACAGAATCTAGACGACTCTACAGACTCAAGACGACTCCACAGACCCTAGAGGACTCCACAGATTCTAGACGACTCCCTTACAGTCTCTAGACTCTACAGACTCAAGACGACTCCACAGACTCTACAACGACTCCCTCAAAGACTCTAGACGACTCTACAGACTCAAGACGATTCCACAGACTCTAGACGACTCTACAGACTCAAGACGACTCCACAGACTCTAAACGACTTTACGGACTCAAGACGACGCTACAGACTCAAGACGACCCCACAGACTCTAGACGACTGCGGCACACTCTAGACGGCTCCACAGACTCTGGGTAACTCTCTCACAGACATTAAGCGAGTCCACAGAGTCTAGAACGACCCCAGAAACTCTAGAACAACTCCACAGACTCTAGAACTCCACAGACTATAGACAGTTTCACAGACGCTAGACAACTCCATCAGACTCTAGACGGTTGCACAGACTCTAGAACGACTCCACAGACTCTAGACGACCTCACAAACTCTAGACGACTCCACAAACTCTAGCTAGACGACTCGCTCAGACTCTAGACAACTCACTCACAGACTCTAGACGACTCCCCCCCCAAAAAAAAAACCACTGACTTACCACGTGTGCCATTTGTTTTGACTGTTTAATAGTGTCAGTGTTCACTACGACACTTTGGGCCGCATTTCAAACATTCGACTGAGGTAAACTCAAAACACAGGCAGGAGAGATTGTTTAAAATTTTCATTACTTTTATTTTCCATCATAATCCCTTTGGCAACGATGACTAAAATTACCTTCATGTTTTGATTATTTTTTCTAACTCACTCACAACTCCTCTTCATTTTTTATTACATCTGAAGGGTCGTTAGTAATATTCCTATACATATAGATTTTTTTTATGATGTTTAAGAATTCCGTTTTCTGTCATAAGCCTATGGGCACCGCTGGCTTAATACGGATACCCATAGGAATTCAACAGTATTTGCCTCCATAAATACCTTACAACTCCTCTTACTTTCTTTTTGCCTCATCTCAAAGGTCGATGATAATATGTATAGATTAAAAACGACTCTCTGATGTTCTCCATAGTCCAATCATGAAGGATTCATATTTTACCTTATACTCTGGTACATTACTCTCGTGTCCTGGTCTCAGCTCTCGATCAATTATAAGTGGCGATGTACGTACAATTGACACATTCCCTTATTCAGAATCTGTTCGGGAAACTATTTTTGTTTCCGAATCCATTTTGGAACCCTTTTAGGGAACACTCATAGGTTCAGAATCTCACTGGGGTTCTCTCTCTATCGCGTTTAATTACGGGCATTCCTAGGATTTAGGGGTTTTTATTTATTATTTTTTGTTATTGTTAATTTATTGGTTGTTAAGGATGGATGTTATATGAATTAACTATGTAAAGCTGTGAGAATGTTTATATAATAAAATATCTAAGTTAACGTAAGGTATTCCTTATTTAATTCCTCGACATGTTTATATAGTGACGTGTAATGTTAATAATAAATGCACTGCAACTGTGAAATAAAACACATCAAACTTAAATATTACATCAGTTATAATGTTGTTGTTCTAAATGACAGATATACAGGTATCAGTCTTTGGTTTGCAGTATGTAGGGTTAATATCCAAGCTAATCCCTGGATCCAGACCATAACCTTCACACACTATTTATTTACTTTGGGTATGTTAGCTTAGCTTAGCTTACGTTAAGTACCAGTCTGGGTCAGGGATTATTTTGCCAATGACAAATAAATTTGTTTATGTCATCATCATCATCATCATATATATATATATATATATATATATATATATATATATATATATATATATATATATATATATATATATATATATATATATATATATATATATATATATATAATCAAATGCAGTGTAACAGCACCATTTGTATTATATAAATATTTACCCAAATGTATAATACCAAATTATTCACCAAGTTATTCAACTGTGCCTCAACTGTGGCTGAGGTTGCAGTTCGGGTCAGCGCATGTCAGCAACAAGATATCTGACGCGTTTCCTTTCTCACACTCTCCAGGCCTGCTTCGCTCTCTCTCCCTTGGTCAGAGTGAGGAGACTCATATCACTTGTTACCTCACTTAAGTGTTCTCCTATAAGTGCACTAAGACACTTCCCTTAGCAGAGAAGGTACAATATACTCTCAACTGAACTCAGGCCGTTTACAGTTGTCAAAATCCCTAAGAAGTAGCAACACTCGTATAGTTAAGAATCTATTAAATAATTTTTTCTATTATAAATCATATAACACAGATGTTCGACAAAGAAATATTCTCGTCACATCTGTAATGTTTTTATTCATGGCTTCAACAATGATAGTTTTAAAATATCTTTCAATATGAGTAAATCTTCTGCTGAAATATATGACAAAATAATACGTGATCTCCCCCCTTCTATCTCCTTCCCGCACTTGAACACCAGATAAAATTTCCGCATTTTTTGTTGGAAAAATGCTGCTTTGGTCCTCTGGTACTGGCTCGCTGCCCTTCCACATTCTCGAAAATTTGACGCACTCGTTACTTCTGTAATGCTGTTGGTTCTTATTTTCCTGTTCTTGTGTTAACTTAATAGACAGGTTCTCCCACACCATATTCCTGTTGCCAGAGGTGTGGGAGAGTGTAGCCACCATGTATCAATATCTTATTAGGCAGCAGGTATAATTTCGCGAGCCTGTCTGATTGACTCCTCCACTTGCCTCTTGCGTCCCTGCAGCTCCTCCAGCTTCTTTTCCAACTCCACTTTCTTGGCCAGATTAGCTTCCTCGCTCTGTGGGTAACAAATAAATAAAAAGAAACATTTAAAATACGTCCACGCAGAGAAAAATTATTGTAAATATTCAGGAGTGGGAAGGGTAGATTTTCGGCCGTTGGTGATGATGATCTCAGTATTAGACGGCATGACAGTTGCCTTTTAAAATGCTCGTATAAAATATCACCATCCATATTTTTATTTTTACCTTTCAAAGTAGCCTAATCGATAAATGTACCTCCGAGAGAGAGAGAGAGAGAGACTGAAGGGTCCTCGGGGATCGCCTGATGTAGCGGAGGCCTAGGCCTGTTAGGCACAGGTCAAGTTCTCTGTTAATGACAAAGCGGTCAATTACATGTGAAGGGACTAAGGAAGGCGCCCGAGAAGATGTGAAATTATGAAGATATTTTGTGAAACTACGTGAAAAATATCATTATAGTATTAGTGCAGTTGTGTTCCCATATTAGTTATCCATATACAGGTAGATGTAATGTATGACTATCGAGTTGGATTGTTGGTGCCAGTTGAACATCCTTTTACGTCTGTCAACACACACACACTTATGTCGATTGGTGGTCTTGTTGTCGTAGTCGTGTGGCGACACAACAGGCCACCATCACCTCATATTTTTGTATCAGCAAACACGCGCAGCTTCTCGGCTTCTCACGTTGTAGAGAGCCCACTCCCTCACGACAACACACCTCGGTAACACACCCACTTTGTACAGGCCACCAAGTTTAATGATACTTTATATTTCTATGCGTGATTTTATCTTATCTACCCAGGTTATTATGGAAAAAAAGAGTTAAAGAAAGGTATAGACGAGGGAGAGACAACACAGTGTCTACCAAATCTACCAGATCGTTTGGGACTCCCAGACAGTTATACAATCTCTATAGTATACGACAAATCATATTTCTACATCTACACGCTCAATAATAGAAGCAATACACAGCTTGATGGAGATCCCTGTTCCACGTCCATCCGACCGATCATAGTTTTCTCAGCCTGGTCCAGAAATTTACTGTACACATAATTTGGCCAGCAGCCTATTGCACGTACAGTACAAATAACCTCGTCTCCCAGAGCTCCTCTCAGTCTGGCGTAATAGCAAGTACTCATGGTGTATCCAAATTGCCCACTTACCTGTGATATGAGAGCAGTCACCTCCTTCATCTTGTGGTCCGTCAACTGGTGCAGGAGCTCCTCTACCTCTGCCTGCTGTCTACCGCTCAGCTGGCTACCCCCGCGAACCACCTGCCGACACAACATTATCAGAGGAAGCCTACCGATGGACTATATTATGGGTTCAAAGTCGCCAATGAGGCTTCAGGGGTACACCGAAATCATGTATAGTTTTCGGAAATTTAATCACAAGAGTAAAGTAAAAAATATATGTTCTTGTATGCCCTTTTGCCTCTACACTGGCCATGCATTTTTACAGTGATACTTCTATACAGGTCGATATAGTATTATGAAACTCAGATCAAGTATTCTGTACATAAATCTGCATCAACAGTGTTCAGAAGCTACACCAAGGGAATATGCCGACAAGATATACTGCTTCTCTGACCAATATGTTGCCACCCTAACCAAATATACTTCTAAAACGGAAGCAGGAAGTTCACCTGAGAAAAGGCGGCGAGGGCTTCATGCGCAGCGCAGGCGACATGATCCCGGTGCTCACTGCTGATAGGGTCAACCGAAAGAGAGTTGAGGGCGTCGGCCAGGCCCTTGAGAGACTCCGGCAAGGCTTTTTCGTTCTTTCCACAGTTGACTGTTGATGGTAGTTGAAAATAACGCTATTATGTTATATAAATTAATAATAGAAACTGACCCCCCCAGAAAAGCTATGGGTCTAATCTTAATGGGTTTAAGGAAAAAATTGGGAGAACCTCACCAAAAACTAGGCAGATAATTGATACCAAGTGTTTTTTGGTATTTTATTTTTTATTCATCTTGATCAATGATGATTTGCATAACCCATGCCCTAGGGTGAACATAATGAAATAAAACAATCTGCATGTGTGTCTGTATGACTGTTCTGTAATAGTGCTGTGTAAATAACATAATATTTAGCATTAAATGTCGCGTTAGAAGACAGTGAAGCTGGAAAAAGAAAAAACTGTGAATGACTGGACAGAATAAAGGTGACTTATTACTTATCATTAGAGAATGCACATATGAAAATGCCTGATACCTACCACCGGCCCTGGCGCTGACAGCATTGAGGAGAGTCAATAGAGAGGAAGATACAAGGAACCTACGGCGGGATCCTTTAAATCTTTCCAATTGTTCGTGGATGCTTTTCAACTCATTGAGAAGAGTTTGAAGGTTGTCCGACAGTTCTTCCACTTCACTCAGCTTTTCAATATCACCGGAGCATTTTATTAACTCTGTAGTAACCTCCTTTATTTTTGCGGTTAAATCGCTCAAATCCGCGTTGAAATCATTTATTCGTTCAACAATAAATGGAGGAGCGGTCACGCAGTCGTTCGTAGTAGCTTCTGTGGACGTGGCTGAGGTAGAGCTAATCTCAGGAGTTGAGGGAAGGGAAGAAGAAATGGTGGATTCCCCAGAAGTTGGTAGAGTAGTCTCTTCGGTGGGTCCTGCTGTAGACAACGATATAGAGGAAGTAGACTGTCCCGATGTCCCAGAAGATGTCGTGGAGGGCTGTGTCTCGGAGGAAGACACGAGATCATCAGAAGACGGAGTGAAAGTCGGGTACACACTGGCAGTGGACACTTCGTAAGATTCAGTTGTGGTGGAGGTGACAGAGGTTTCCGTACCACTGGTTGTCGAACCTGAAGTAGTGCTGGTGCCCTCAGATGTTTCTGAGGGTGTTTCTGCAGTAGTACCAGTACTTTGTGATTCTTCTGTGGGTGTTTCTGCAGTAATATCAGTACCTTCTGTGGGTGTTTCTGCAGTAGTACCAGTACCTTCTGTGGTTATTTCTGCAGTAGTACCAGTACTTTGTGATCCTTCTGTGGGTGTTTCTGCACTAATATCAGTACCTTCTGTGGATATTTCAACAGTAGTACCAGTACCTTCTGTGGTTATTTCTGCAGTAGTACCAGTACCTTCTGTGGTTATTTCTGCAGTAGTACCAGTACTCTGTGATCCTTCTGTGGGAGTTTCTCCAGTAGTACCAGTACCTTCTGTGGTTATTTCTACAGTAGTACCAGTACTTTGTGATCCTTCTGTGGGTGTTTCTGCAGTTATATCAGTACCTTCTGTTGGTGTTTCTGCAGTAGTACCAGTACTTTGTGATCCTTCTGTGGGTGTTTCTGCAGTAGTACCAGTACCTTCTGTGGTTATTTCTGCAGTAGTACCAGTACTTTGTGGTCCTTCTGTGGGTGATTCTGCAGTAGTACCAGTAATTTCTGTGGTTATTTCTGCAGTAGTACCGGTACCTTCTGTGGTTATTTCTGCAGTAGTACCAGTACTTTGTGGTCCTTCTGTGGGTGATTCTGCAGTAGTACCAGTAACTTCTGTGCTTATTTCTGCAGTAGTACCAGTACCTTCTGTGGTTATTTCTGCAGTAGTACCAGTACTTTGTGATCCTTCTGTGGGTGTTTCTGCAGTAATATCAGTACCTTCTGTGGTTGTTTCTGCAGTAGTACCAGTACCTAGTGTGGTTATTTCTGCAGTAGTACCAGTACTTTGTGATCCTTCTGTGGGTGTTTCTGCAGTAATATCAGTACCTTCTGTGGATGTTTCAGCAGTAATATCAGTACCTTCTGTGGGTGTTTCTGCAGTAGTACCAGTACCTTCTGTGGTTTTTTCTACAGTAGTTCCAGTACCTTCTGTTGTAATTTCTGCAGTAATACCAGTACTTTGTGATCCTTCTGTGGGTGTTTCTGCAGTAATATCAGTACCTTCTGTGGATGTTTCTGCAGTAGTACCAGTACCTTCTGTGGCTATTTCTGCAGTAGTACCAGTACTTTGTGATCCTTCTGTGGGTGTTTCTGCAGTAATATCAGTACCTTCTGTGGATATTTCAACAGTAGTAAAAGTACCTTCTGTGGTTATTTCTGCAGTAGTACCAGTACTCTGTGATCCTTCTGTGGGAGTTTCTCCAGTAGAACCAGTACCTTCTGTGGTTATTTCTACAGTAGTACCAGTACTTTGTGATCCTTCTGTGGGTGTTTCTGCAGTTATATCAGTACCTTCTGTGGGTGTTTCTGCAGTAGTACCAGTACCTTCTGTGGTTAAAGTAGTACCAGTACTCTGTGATCCTTCTGTGGGTGTTTCTGCAGTAGTACCAGTACCTTCTGTGGTTATTTCTGCAGTAGTACCAGTACTCTGTGATCCTTCTGTGGGAGTTTCTCCAGTAGTACCAGTACCTTCTGTGGTTATTTCTGCAGTTGTACCAGTACTTTGTGATCCTTCTGTGGGTGTTTCTGCAGAAATATCAGTACCTTCTGTGGAGGTTTCTGAAGTAGTACTAGTACCTTCTGTGTTTATTTCTACAGTAGTACCAGTACCTTCTGTGGTTATTTCTGCAGTTGTACCAGTACTTTGTGATCCTTCTGTGGGTGTTTCTGCAGTAATATCAGTGCCTTCTGTGGGTGTTTCTGCAGTAGTACCAGTAATTTCTGTGGTTATTTCTGCAGTAGTACCAGTACCTTCTGTGGTTATTTCTGCAGTAGTACCAGTACTTTGTGATCCTTCTGTGGGTGTTTCTGCAGTAATATCAGTACCTTCTGTGGGTGTTTCTGCAGTAGTACCAGTAACTTCTGTGGTTATTTCTGCAGTAGTACCAGTACCTCCTGTGGTTATTTCTGCAGTAGTACCAGTACCTTCTGTGGTTATTTCTGCAGTAGTACCAGTACTTTGTGATCCTTCTGTGGGAGTTTCTGGAGTAACATCAGTACCTTCTGTGGGTGTTTCTGGAGTAACATCAGTACCTTCTGTGGGCGTTTCTGCAGTAATATCAGTACCTTCTGTGGTTATTTCTGCAGTAGTACCAGTACCTTCTGTGGTTATTTCTGCAGTAGTACCAGTACTTTGTGATCCTTCTGTGGGTGTTTCTGGAGTAACATCAGTACCTTCCGTGGGTGTTTCTGCAGTAATATCAGTACCTTCTGTGGTTGTTTCTGCAGTAGTACCAGTACCTAGTGTGGTTATTTCTGCAGTAGTACCAGTACTTTGTGATCCTTCTGTGGGTGTTTCTGCAGTAATATCAGTACCTTCTGTGGATGTTTCAGCAGTAATATCAGTACCTTCTGTGGTTATTTCTGCAGTAGTACCAGTACTTTGTGATCCTTCTGTGGGTGTTTCTGCAGTAACATCAGTACCTTCTGTGGGTGTTTCTGCAGTAATATCAGTACCTTCTGTGGATGTTTCTCCAGTAGTACCAGTACTTTGTGATCCTTCTGTGGGTGTTTCTGCAGTAGTACCAGTACCTTCTGTGGTTTTTTCTGCAGTAGTTCCAGTACCGTCTGTGGGTGTTTCTGCAGTAGTACCAGTACTTTGTGATCCTTCTGTGGGTGTTTCTGCAGTAGTACCAGTAATTTCTGTGGTTATTTCTGCAGTAGTACCAGTACCTTCTGTGGTTTTTTCTGCAGTAGTTCCAGTACCTTCTGTTGTTATTTCTGCAGTAATACTAGTACTTTGTGATACTTCTGTGGATGTTTCTGCAGTAATATCAGTACCTTCTGTGGATGTTTCTGCAGTAGTACCAGTACCTTCTGTGGCTATTTCTGCAGTAGTACCAGTACTTTGTGATCCTTCTGTGGGTGTTTCTGCAGTAATATCAGTACCTTCTGTGGATATTTCAACAGTAGTACCAGTACCTTCTGTGGTTATTTCTACAGTAGTACCAGTACTCTGTGATCCTTCTGTGGGAGTTTCTCCAGTAGTACCAGTACCTTCTGTGGTTATTTCTACAGTAGTACCAGTACTTTGTGATCCTTCTGTGGGTGTTTCTGCAGTTATATCAGTACCTTCTGTGGGTGTTTCTGCAGTAGTACCAGTACCGTCTGTGGTTATTTCTACAGTAGTACCAGTACTCTGTGATCCTTCTGTGGGAGTTTCTCCAGTAGTACCAGTACCTTCTGTGGTTATTTCTACAGTAGTACCAGTACTCTGTGATCCTTCTGTGGGAGTTTCTCCAGTAGTACCAGTACCTTCTGTGGTTATTTCTGCAGTAGTACCAGTACTCTGCGATCCTTCTGTTGGTGTTTCTACAGTAGTACCACTACCTTCTGTGGTTATTTCTGCAGTTGTACCAGTACTTTGTGATCCTTCTGTGGGTGTTTCTGCAGAAATATCAGTACCTTCTGTGGAGGTTTCTGAAGTAGTACTAGTACCTTCGGTGTTTATTTCTACAGTAGTACCAGTACCTTCTGTGGTTATTTCTGCAGTTGTACCAGTACTTTGTGATCCTTCTGTGGGTGTTTCTGCAGTAATATCAGTGCCTTCTGTGGGTGTTTGTGTGTACAGTAGTTCTGTGTAAGTTTCTGTGGTTATTTCTGCAGTAGTACCAGTACCTTCTGTGGTTATTTCTGCAGTAGTACCAGTACTTTGTGATCCTTCTGTGGGTGATTCTGCAGTAGTACCAGTAATTTCTGCAGTAGTACCAGTAGTACCTTCTGTGGTTATTTCTGCAGTAGTACCAGTACCTTCTGTGGTTATTTCTGCAGTAGTACCAGTACCTTCTGTGGTTATTTCTGCAGTAGTACCAGTACTTTGTGATCCTTTTGTGGGTGTTTCTGGAGTAACATCAGTCCCTTCTGTGGGTGTTTCTGCAGTAATATCAGTACCTTCTGTGGGTGTTTCTGGAGTAACATCAGTACCTTCTGTGGGTGTTTCTGGAGTAACATCAGTACCTTCTGTGGGTGTTTCTGGAGTAACATCAGTACCTTCTGTGGGTGTTTCTTCATGGGTGTTTCTGCTGTCAGTAACTTCTGTGTGTTTCTGCAGTAGTACCAGTACCTTCTGTGGTTATTTCTGCAGTAGTACCAGTACTTTGTGATCCTTCTGTGGGAGTTTCTGGAGTAACATCAGTACCTTCTGTGGGTGTTTCTGGAGTAACATCAGTACCTTCTGTGGGTGTTTCTGCAGTAATATCAGTACCTTCTGTAGTTATTTCTGCAGTAGTACCAGTACCTTCTGTGGTTATTTCTGCAGTAGTACCAGTACTTTGTGATCCTTTTGTGGGTGTTTCTGGAGTAACATCAGTCCCTTCTGTGGGTGTTTCTGCAGTAATATCAGTACCTTCTGTGGTTGTTTCTGCAGTAGTACCAGTACCTAGTGTGGTTATTTCTGCAGTAGTACCAGTACTTTGTGATCCTTCTGTGGGTGTTTCTGCAGTAATATCAGTACCTTCTGTGGATGTTTCAGCAGTAATATCAGTACCTTCTGTGGTTATTTCTGCAGTAGTACCAGTACTTTGTGATCCTTCTGTGGGTGTTTCTGCAGTAACATCAGTACCTTCTGTGGGTGTTTCTGCAGTAATATCAGTACCTTCTGTGGATGTTTCTGCAGTAGTACCAGTACTTTGTGATCCTTCTGTGGGTGTTTCTACAGTAGTACCAGTACCTTCTGTGGTTTTTTCTGCAGTAGTTCCAGTACCGTCTGTGGGTGTTTCTGCAGTAGTACCAGTACTTTGTGATCCTTCTGTGGGTGTTTCTGCAGTAGTACCAGTACCTTCTGTTGTTATTTCTGCAGTAATACTAGTACTCTGTGATCCTTCTGTGGGTGTTTCTGCAGTAATATCAGTACCTTCCGTGGATGTTTCTGCAGTACTACCAGTACCTTCTGTGGCTATTTCTGCAGTAGTACCAGTACTTTGTGATCCTTCTGTGGGTGTTTCTGCAGTAATATCAGTACCTTCTGTGGATATTTCAACAGTAGTACCAGTACCTTCTGTGGTTATTTCTGCAGTAGTACCAGTACTCTGTGATCCTTCTGTGGGAGTTTCTCCAGTAGTACCAGTACCTTCTGTGGTTATTTCTACAGTAGTACCAGTACTTTGTGATCCTTCTGTGGGTGTTTCTGCAGTTATATCAGTACCTTCTGTGGGTGTTTCTGCAGTAGTACCAGTACCTTCTGTGGTTATTTCTACAGTAGTGCCAGTACTCTGTGATCCTTCTGTGGGAGTTTCTCCAGTAGTACCAGTACCTTCTGTGGTTATTTCTGCAGTAGTACCAGTACTCTGTGATCCTTCTGTGGGAGTTTCTCCAGTAGTACCAGTACCTTCTGTGGTTTTTTCTACAGTAGTACCAGTACTCTGTGATCCTTCTGTTGGTGTTTCTGCAGTAGTACCACTACCTTCTGTGGTTATTTCTGAAGTTGTACCAGTACTTTGTGATCCTTCTGTGGGTGTTTCTGCAGAAATATCAGTACCTTCTGTGGAGGTTTCTGAAGTAGTACTAGTACCTTCTGTGTTTATTTCTACAGTAGTACCAGTACCTTCTGTGGTTATTTCTGGAGTTGTACCAGTACTTTGTGATCCTTCTGTGGGTGTTTCTGCAGTAATATCAGTGCCTTCTGTGGGTGTTTCTGCAGTAGTACCAGTAATTTCTGTGGTTATTTCTGCAGTAGTACCAGTACCTTCTGTGGTTATTTCTGCAGTAGTACCAGTACCTTGTGATCCTTCTGTGGGTGATTCTGCAGTAGTACCAGTAACTTCTGTGCTTATTTCTGCAGTAGTACCAGTACCTTCTGTGGTTATTTCTGCAGTAGTACCAGTACTGTGTGATCCTTCTGTGGGTGTTTCAGCAGTAATATCAGTACCTTCTGTGGTTATTTCTGCAGTAGTACCAGTACTTTGTGATACTTCTGTGGGTGTTTCTGGAGTAACATCAGTACCTTCTGTGGGTGTTTCAGCAGTAATATCAGTACCTTCTGTGGTTATTTCTGCAGTAGTACCAGTACTTTGTGATACTTCTGTGGGTGTTTCTGCAGTAACATCAGTACCTTCTGTGGGTGTTTCTGCAGTAGTACCAGTACCATCTGTGGTTATTTCTGCAGTAGTACCAGTACCTTCTGTGGTTATTTCTGCAGTAGTACCAGTACTTTGTGATACTTCTGTGGGTGTTTCTGCAGTAATATCAGTACCTTTTGTGGGTGTTTCTGCAGTAATATCAGTACCCTTCTGTGGTTATTTCTGTGTAGTACTCAGTAATTTTCAGATACTTCCTGTGGGTGTTTTCAGTAATATCAGTACCTTCTGTGGGTGTTTTGTTAGCAATATCAGCATTCTGTGGTTGTTTCAGCACATCAGTACCTTCTGTGGTTATTTCTGCAGTAGTACCAGTATTTTGTGACTCTTCTGTGGGTGTTTCTGGAGTAACATCAGTACCTTCTGTGGGTGTTTCTGGAGTAACATCAGTACCTTCTGTGGTTATTTCTGCAGTAGTACCAGTACTTTGTGATACTTCTGTGGGTGTTTCTGCAGTAATATCAGTACCTTCTGTGGTTATTTCTGCAGTAGTACCAGTACTTTGTGATACTTCTGTGGGTGTTTCTGCAGTAATATCAGTACCTTCTGTGGGTGTTTCAGCAGTAATATCAGTACCTTCTGTGGTAATTTCTGCAGTAGTACCAGTACTTTGTGATACTTGTGGGTGTTTCTGGCAGTAATACTGCATCTTTCTCATAGGGTGTTTTCTGAGTAGCAGCGGTACCTTCTGTGGTTGTTTCAGCAGTAATATCAGTACCTTCTGTGGTTATTTCTGCAGTAGTACCAGTATTTTGTGACTCTTCTGTGGGTGTTTCTGCAGTAGTACCAGTACCTTCTGTGGTTATTTCTGCAGTAGTACCAGTACCTTCTGTGGTTATTTCTGCAGTAGTACCAGTACCTTCTGTGGTTATTTCTGCAGTAGTACCAGTACTTTGTGATACTTCTGTGGGTGTTTCTGCAGTAATATCAGTACCTTCTGTGGGTGTTTCTGCAGTAACATCAGTACCTTCTGTGGGTATTTCTGCAGTAGTACCAGTACCTAGTGTGGTTATTTCTACAGTAGTACCTGTACTTTGTGATCCTTCTGTGGGTGTTTCTGGAGTAACATCAGTACCTTCTGTGGGTGTTTCTGCAGTAACATCAGTACCTTCTGTGGGTGTTTCTGCAGTAGTACCAGTACCTAGTGTGGTTATTTCTGCAGTAGTAGCAGTACTTTGTGATCCTTCTGTGGGTGTTTGTGCAGTAATATCAGTACCTTCTGTGGGTGTTTCTGCAGTAGGACCAGTAATTTCAGTGGTTATTTCTGCAGTAGTACCAGTACTTTGTGATCCTTCTGTGGGTGTTTCTGCAGTAACATCAGTACCTTCTGTGGGTGTTTCTGCAGTAACATCAGTACCTTCTGTGGGTGTTTCAGCAGTAATATCAGTACCTTCTGTGGTTATTTCTGCAGTAGTACCAGTACTTTGTGATCCTTCTGTGGGTGTTTCTGCAGTAACATCAGTACTTTCTGTGGGTGTTTCTGCAGTAACATCAGTACCTTCTGTGGGTGTTTCTGCAGTAGTACCAGTACCTTCAGTGTTTATTTCTGCAGTAGTACCAGTACTTTGTGATCCTTCAGTGGGTGTTTCTGCAGTAGTACCAGTACCTAGTGTGGTTATTTCTGCAGTAGTACCAGTACTTTGTGATCCTTCTGTGGGTGTTTCAGCAGTAATATCAGTACCTTCTGTGGTTATTTCTGCAGTAGTACCAGTACTTTGTGATCCTTTTGTGGGTGTTTCAGCAGTAATATCAGTACCTTCTGTGGTGATTTCTGCAGTAGTACCAGTACTTTGTGATCCTTCTGTGGGTGTTTCTGGAGTAACATCAGTACCTTCTGTGGGTGTTTCTGCAGTAACATCAGTACCTTCCGTGGTTATTTCTGCAGTAGTACCAGTACTTTGTGATCCTTCAGTGGGTGTTTCTGCAGTAGTACCAGTACCTAGTGTGGTTATTTCTGCAGTAGTACCAGTACTTTGTGATACTTCAGTGGGTGTTTCAGCAGTAATATCAGTACCTTCCGTGGTTATTTCTGCAGTAGTACCAGTACTTTGTGATCCTTCAGTGGGTGTTTCTGCAGTAGTACCAGTACCTAGTGTGGTTATTTCTGCAGTAGTACCAGTACTTTGTGATCCTTCTGTGGGTGTTTCAGCAGTAATATCAGTACCTTCTGTGGTTATTTCTGCAGTAGTACCAGTACTTTGTGATCCTTCTGTGGGTGTTTCAGCAGTAATATCAGTACCTTCTGTGGTTATTTCTGCAGTAGTACCAGTACTTTGTGATCCTTCTGTGGGTGTTTGTTATAATATCAGTACCTTTCTGTGGTGATTTCTGCAGTAGCACACAGTACTTTCAGATCCTTCTGTGGGTGTTTTATAACATCAGTACCTCTGTGGGTGTTTCTTGCAACATCAGTACCTCCTGTGGGGGTGTTTCTGCAGTAGTACCAGTACCTAGTGTGGTTAGTTTCTGCAGTAGTACCAGCATTTCAGATCCTTCTGAGGGTGTTTGCAGTAATATCAGTACTGTGTGGGTGTGTTTAGCAGTAGCACCAGCACTTTCTGTGGTTATTTCTGCAAGTACCAGTACCTTCTGTGTGTTTATTTCTGCAGTACCTTCTGTGGTTATTTCTGTACCAGCAATCTTCTGTGGTTATTTCTGCAGTAGTACCAGCATTTCAGATCCTTCTGTGGGTGTTTCGCAGTAACATCAGTTGCTTCTGTGGGTGTTTTCTCCAGTAACATCAGTACCTTCTGTAAGTGTTTCAGCAAAGATTTGGCATTCTCTGTGGTTATTTCTGCAGTAGTACCAGTACTTTGTGATCCTTCTGTGGGTGTTTCTGCAGTAACATCAGTACCTTTTGTGGGTGTTTCTGCAGTAATATCAGTACCTTCTGTGGGCGTTTCAGGAGTAATATCAGTACCTTCTGTGGTTATTTCTGCAGTAGTACCAGTACTTTGTGATCCTTCTGTGGGTGTTTCTGGAGTAACATCAGTACCTTCTGTGGGTGTTTCTGCAGTAACATCAGTACCTTCTGTGGGTGTTTCTGCAGTAGTACCAGTACCTAGTGTGGTTATTTCTGCAGTAGTACCAGTACTTTGTGATCCTTCTGTGGGTGTTTCAGCAGTAATATCAGTACCTTCTGTGGGTGTTTCTGCAGTAGGACCAGTACCTTCAGTGGTTGTTTCTGCAGTAGTACCAGTACTTTGTGATCCTTCTGTGGGTGTTTCTGCAGTAATATCAGTACCTTCTGTGGATGTTTCAGCAGTAATATCAGTACCTTCTGTGGTTATTTCTGCAGTACTACCAGTACTTTGTGATCCTTCTGTGGGTGTTTCTGCAGTAACATCAGTACCTTCTGTGGGTGTTTCTGCAGTAACATCAGTACCTTCTGTGGGTGTTTTTGCAGTAGTACCAGTACCTAGTGTGGTTATTTCTGCAGTAGTACCAGTACTTTGTGATCCTTCTGTGGGTGTTTCAGCAGTAATATCAGTACCTTCTGTGGTTATTTCTGCAGTAGTACTAGTACTTTGTGATCCTTCTGTGGATGTTTCTGCACTAGCACTTGATTCCTCTGATTCTTCCGTGGATTTTTCTGTGGTACTCGTTCCCTCAGATTCTGCAGTAGAGGTTTCTTCTGATTCAGACGATGAAGTTGTACTCGTCCCCTGAGATTCTGCGGTGGATGTTTCTTCAGATTCAGATTCTGATGTCGAAGTCGTGGCTTGCGACTCTTGTGTGCTGGTGCCTTCACTTGACACAGTTTCTGAAGTGACACTTGTAGCCTCTGATTCCTCAGAAGACATTGGTACTGTTGCTGTTGACACAGGGAAGGATGTACTTGGTGAAGTCGTCACAATCACACAAGGTTCTCCAGCAGCGTTTGTTACTGTTCTCATGGCTGGCAGCATATTTCTGAAAGTATTTATTTGAGAACATCCTCCCGCTGCAGTTGTCTCTGTCCTCACGTCCAAGTACAGTCCGGAGCCATGTAATTGCGCTGTCTCGTCCCCATAAGCTACGTCCAGTTGCAGGAGGCGGGTTTCCATTGGTGGACACATAGTTTCATTTGATTGTATCCCATCTATAACTACTGGTAATCTTCTTATGAGGTCTTGAAGTAAATGATGAAGATTGAGAGTTTCATCATATATTTGTTGCCAGTAGGCCGTCTCTTCCGGGTCGGAGCAGGATCTACTCACCAGCCCTTTCACGCGATGTATTATCGGGAACATACTCTTGTATGACTTGAATAAACCTTTAATATCCTCGTTCTTGATGGTGTTGTTGCACATCAAGTCGCCATCATCGGTGTGAGGAACGTTGCCACCACCCTGCCGCAGATCTGAAAGTTTAAAATCATGTGTTCTCGTGATTACGAGCGAAGTATTCAGTCGCTATATTACTTTACAATAAGTTTGAATTCATCATACGGTACATAAACAATATTATTATTATTATTATTATTATTATTATTATTATTATTATTATTATTATTATTAATATTAATATTATTATTAGTATTATTATTGTCACAAAAAACGGTAAAAGAATGTCAATATTCTTTGGCATCGTACCTCCATACTCTTCCCAGTACAGTACACTGAGGCTCGTACACTCTGGTGACTTTAATTACACATGCAAACCAGTACACATAAAACTCATGCACCCCAATATACATTCATACAAACTCCTTTATAATTGGACACATACACCCGGCACAATCGACCTTGTGCATTCAGATATACGACCACGTACAGTAAATCATCAGATGTTCACCATGTATAAGTCTCCACTTACCGTACACTTTGACGGGGAAGTGCATCAAGAGGGGCTCCCACTCGGCCTGGGTCGCTTGGCTGGGCTGGGAAAGACACACGAGAAAGGAAGTTGTCACTAACTTGATAATTTAATTCCGTTGTAACAGGTTAACAAGCTATAATGGTCTTGCTTCTGCCTTTCAAACGTACAGTAATTAATTACCAACGTCGTCATCATCCTTAAAATGATCGATCCTATTATCTTTTTTATACACTCCTGTTTCTTCATTTCATCTTAATATCATTCTGATATTGCTAATTCTATTACTACAGTACTTCAACTACTGCTGCTGCTATTTGCCGAGAGGCACTAAAAGAATTATTTTCCTCTGTTTGCAAGGGAGGATGCAAGAAATTTACATAATTTAAAAGTTAATCAAATCAGTTTACTATAAAGATAGACAGGTTCCTTGTGGGGTCTAGTACAGTCAACTAAGCTCAAGGTAGATAAAAGGTCTGGCCCTGAGGATGGATATCCTCGAATGTTAAGGGAATAGTTTAATGAACTCTCAAAATCCCCAAGGGCGCGTTTACACGAGGCGTTCTAATAGACACCAGTGCTAAGGAGATAGCAATTTGCGCCTTCACATGTGTCAACGGCTCCACTAGCCGCAACTCCCGGGAGTAACTCGCCCCTAGCGCTAGAATGACAGTGCTTTTCACTCACCTGGAAGTTGGTAGTCACTCAACTTTTAAAGCAATTGTGTGCTTAGTTGGAGCAGGCAGTAATAATTAGTAGCGCTGAATACTTGTCATGATAGTCTTCAGTGCAGTTTGAGATGTATGTTATTACATATTTTTTTATTACAAGTTCAGATTAATGTTCAATAATCTTATCTCAAGAAATTTACGCACATGGCAGGACCTTCAACCGACAGTTCATTCTAATCAAAACTGGTGGACGCAGCGAGGAGTCGCCTAGAGGGGTATCTTTGTGCCAACTAATCGGGAAAGGCTCCTCTCGCTCGCCTCTTGAGCCATCATACTAGTAACAAGCCTCATGTAAACGCGCCCTAAATATCATGTTCAGGATTCCTAGGAACTGAAATTTAACATATGTGAGTCCTCTATTAAATGACGGCGATCATCACAGCACAAATAATAATAGGCCTGTGAATATGTTTGGTTTATAAAGCGCAAGAGAGCATGATACTCATGTCATGATGGGTTATTTTACAACGGAAATATCTAGTTGAGGAATGTCAGGATGATCTATGTATGGGAATTCCTGCTTGATACAGCTGCTGAAATTCCTGGATGGGTCGTAGATTCTAGTTTCAAACATGGTTACAAGAAAGGGTGTTAATATTTACCGTTGACGAATGGCCCGACACAATGGAAATCTTGCCCTAATTATAAATACATATGCAAGACATCTTGGTGTTTATGTTAACAAAGAATTGAAGTTCTCAAATCATTATGATTGACTTGTTGGACTAATACGAAGGTCACATACATGTCTAGATGGTCTGCCTCTTGCTGAAACTAAGAGGATGGAACATTGAAATTATACCTAGTCTTTGAGAGATGTTGAAGCACACTAATTCCTTGAAAACATCTTGAAAATGAGTACCTAACTGGTCCGAATATACAAACACTTCACTTACTTAGAGATTTGAACATCAATCGCAATGTTTGTACTATTGAGGAGCAAAATGAGATTTTATTATTATTATTATTTTTTTTACGGGGAATAGCCCACAACGGGGCCTAGGGTGGCGAAAAAATAAGATTAAAAATAGAAAAGGCAAAGGTTATATTAATCTACACCACGAAGATGCCGGAAAACCAGCTTTTTGAAGTGAGACAGATTGTATGAGTATGAAAACAGAAGAAGGCAGAGCATTCCAGAGTTTGGCTGTGTGAGGAAAGAAGGATGTACTATAACGGGTTATCCTATAGTGTGGCCGACATCCACAGGGAAACGGTGGGCACCGCGGGCAAGACGAGTGTTACGAGCCCACGGCCTTGCCGGTGGTACACAGGATGCCAAATCCACCGAACATTGCCTGTTAAAATACTTGTAAAAGAGAGAGAATGAAGCAACATTGCAGTGAAGAGAAAGAGAAGAGAGATTATCAACTAAAGGAGGAGAGTCAATAAGACGAAATGCCTTTGATTCCACCCTATCTAACAGTTGGACAGAAGAAGAGCCACCCCAGATATGAGAGCAGTACTCCAAGTTAGGACGAAAGAATCCCTTTTATACTTGAAGCAACTGCTCACAGGAGTGAAGTAGATACGGCATCTGTACAGCATTCCCAGCTTTCGGGAGGCAGCTTTAGCAATGTTGTGGATGTGTGGCTTCCATGACATATTAGAGGAATTGGTGAGGCCTATCATATCTATTTTAGAATTTTGCAGAATTATTGCGTCCTGAAATGTGATTGGTGGGAGATCATCGCATTGATAGATGAAATGATATCAGCTCTAGAAACAGATCAAGTTTGAGAATTATAATCACCTTAAATGGCATTTCTTGGTCAAATGGGCGTATAGTCCCCTTCACTTGTGCGTTTACAAGAGCTCGTCATATAAACATTCCACTAATCACTGTCTTTGATAAATTTGTTTTAATTTCACTCCAAAGTATGTTTATTATTGCTGGTTTGTATCTGTCGAATGTAAACAAACAGAGCGCTGTGCCACACTGCACAAAACCTGACGAGCCCCTGTAAACGCACTAGTAAAGGGGACTATATACATTTGGAGTTGGTTAATGACTGCTCCACTTATGGTTAGTCTCAAGCTTAAAGAGGCTACCAACACAAGAAACTATAATAACCAGCTTCTTTGAAGTAAAGATTGTCAACTTATGAAATAATCTACCAGAAAACATTTTGAAGCATCGTGTATGAATTTGCTAAAGTCCAGGCTAAACCATGATTGGCGCAAGTTTAGATACATTCAAGAGTATATTGTATGTACGATAGATACCTAGTACCTACCAACGATGCGAAAACGACAAGTTTCCTACTGTCTGAATTACTAATCAACTGAAAGAGGACAATAAGGATAAGAAGGTGAAGTTCCTGGACACGGGTCTCATCGTTATGCTGCACATAAAGTGATAGTAGCCCAGCTTAGACAACATACCTCTTGCAGAAGAAGCAGCAGGACGGACGCGACTAGTCCGGAGATAGGAAGGCGGAAAGCCCTCATTTCGGTCTTATGTTGTGTCGCCTCCACCTGTGGGAAACTAAGTTGGTAAATAGGCTTAGTCTATTTTCAATTCTCTCTCTCTCGCGCGCAAGATTTCTCTTTCTCTTTATTTCTACTATCTCAATGAACACAAATTCTCCAGCATTTGCTAATGCTATTTAGTTTGGCATCACTGTTCCGTATACATCATTGATAACTTTTCAATCCACTCCTAAACATTGCATCCTATGTCTCTGGTTGATGATGTAAAACTACTAAGAATTAGTTCCCATGATTATAATTCTCCCAGGAATCAGATCAGGTTTAAAAATACATTTCTACTGCTAAGTAGTTTAAGGTGCCTCCTTTCTGTTTCTGCCACTTAATTGGATAAACTACACCAGTTATTTATGCCTAAGTGCATATCCGCGCTGATGTTACCGAATAAGGTCTCTTTCTCGGATTTAAACTTTTACTTTTATCCTCTTCGCCACCGATCGGCTTGTTAGCCGCTTGGGCGATCGGTCACGTCTCTTTTCATTTATCTTCTTCACCAAAAGATCGGCTCGCTAGCCGCCCGGGCGATCGGCCACGTCTCTGTCACGCACTGTTGGCAAATACTGGGCATGCACCAGCTCCTGAATGTACCTGACCCGCTCCAGTGTTGGTCAAGTCTTGTCTTGAAAGAGCTCACACTCGGTGCCGTCACAACACTCTCTGGTAGACTGTTCCAAGAGTTTACAACCCTCACTCCGAAAAAGTTTGCCCTCACGGTTTTCTGGACTTGCGGCTTCCTCAATCTTGAGCTGTGACCCCTTGTGGGGCGAGCGTCCGCCAGCTCCAAGTAAGGACACTCAACTGAGTAGTGCCCCCTGAGATGCTTATACACCTCAACTAGGTCCCCCCTTGCCTGTCTGTAGTATAAGCTAGGCAAGTTCAGGCGCTCCAATCTCTCAGGGTAGCTGAGGTGCCGAAGTACAGGCACCAGTCTGGTGGCCCTCCTTTGAACATTTTCAACCAACTGACAGTCCCTAGCATATCTCGGGGACCAGATGGGGTGACAGTACTCCAGATGGGGAAGCACTTCGCTCCTGAAGATCGCTACGAGGGACGGACCGTCTAGATATCTGAACGACCTTCTTATAAGACCCAATAATTTATTTGCCTGATTTAAGGTATATCTGCAGCATTCTATAGGCATAAAGGTTTTTAGGATAGAAGATAAAATTCAGCCAAATACGATACGTGTGAATAGTTTAAAAAATATCGCTATATTTGTAATCTTCCATGAAAAACAATGTCTAAAGGGTGCTGCAGGAGTTGGTGTCTAGCGATAGGATACTTCATGCATGAAAATCTCACTAAACTTGACCTAGTTCCTGGATATTAGGAAAATTCGTGGGAGAGGTTAGGAAATAGAAGCGCACCTGTGGGGAATGTTTAACGCACTTTGGAAGTGTACCACTGTTCACCTATGCCATATTTAAAATTTAGTAATGGTTTGGAGTAACAATGCATTATGAGACAATTATTGCATAAACCTCTTTCTTACCGATGATTTTTTCTTTTAAAGAGATTCCAGCAAAAATGACTGCAAAAATACAAATGTACCAGCCACTGATCCACACCACTATACTGTACACCATAACACATCCTCACCTGGAGGAAAAGAAGATAGTTTGGTGCACTCCGAACTCTAGCAGGACCAAGTGCAGTTATACGAGAAGAGGAAGCCGACAGGGAAGAGATGAGGACGCTACACTGTGACAACCACGGCTTCCGTGCCACATATATGTAAGCAACCCATAAACTGGACCCCTTGAAGATGGGCGACGAGGTTGGCCACTACGTCACCACAGCACCTGTTCATAAAACACACATTTACCCTGCACTAATTTGTCTAGAGTAAATAAGTTAAGCGGAGTAACGACGAGAACTTCCAATCCTCGTAATATTTTAAGTACGAGTGGGAGAAGCAGTAATGTAGAATATGTAAACAAGAGCTCAATAGCGGAACATCTGTGTACACCATTATGGGAAGGCTCTTTACGACACTTCGTATATGCCAAAAACTTCAAGGTCATTGCAGTCTCTTTACAGATAATGGTTAAATACTGTATATAACTACACTTTTATATAAAGGTAGTTTCAGATAACCATAACGTTCAAGGATACCATGACTCTACGGTATAGGTTCATCATAGACTCGGGGGGTGGGGGGGGGACTCCCCAAAACTGTCGGCTCGTGTGCAATTTGCTTTACTCAGAGTTTTAGTGATGCCAAACGCCCACGTTAAAAGATTCCTCGTAAATTTCTCCACATTCCTCAAAATCCAGAGACCCTGTTTTACAGCATATAAACTATCACGTTAGGGGTAAGAAATGCGTATAATTGTATAAATGTGCTTCCATTTGAGTTTTATATCAGGGTTTAAAGTCATTGGGTAAAGTCAATGTCACTGTCGCCACAAGGAAGGGAAATAGGTTTGGTAATCCATTGACAGCAAAGTCAAAGACCCAGAAATTATGTTGCTCAAATCATCAAATTATTGAAAATTTCATCTGATATCTTAATGTAATTCCAATGCCATTATGGATATTGTTTCTCTTCGAAAGCTGTAACTTAAGTGAACCTGTTAAATATATTCTTAGATCTAGTGTTACGAGGAAAATTTGGTTAAATTTTCCTGGTGGGCGTGGACATGTAACAGAACAGAGAATCCATATCACAAAATACTGTGATGTAATTATGTCCCCACCCTCCATCCGCTGCTAAAGAAAGAAAACGAGGATAGTGTATCCATCTAACACGAGTATCGTTACGTAAACTTATGATCGCAGAGTTGCCCTTTGTTGTCTTTGCTCACATTAGACTAGAAAACCTCCTTATCTCTCAAGTCTCTGAGGCAGAGGATGTCCTGCATTTTTCGTCTTATTAACTGTGAAATCGTCTCAACCAATATTATTCAGCTCTGTTCCCTCGGTTGTATCACCTGTCACGGGGAGTCATTATCCACTACATCACCATCTAAGTGTACCCGATGATTTAGATGTGATGTGGGTAACTAAAATTGAGTTTGACTCACTTAGGGTTCTGTTAGACCGCATGGACTTGGTTTGTTTGATCCCAAGGTAGCTTCTACGGAACCTCATCCACCCAGAGAGATTAGAACGCCAGCAACTGCCTAACTTATACTACAAACTGGCAAGGAGCGACCTAATTGAATGTATAAACATCTCACAGGGCACTACTCGGTCAAATGTAGACATACCTGGGGTTGGCGGAAGCCCGCCCCACAAGGGGTCACAGCTCAAGGTTGAAGAACCACACATCCAGAAAACAGTGAGAGCAAACTTTTTCGGAGTGAGAATTGTGAACTCTTGGAACAATCTGCCAGAGAGTGTTGTGACGGCACAGAGTGTGAGCTCTTTCAAGGCCAGACTTGACCAACACTGGAGCAGGTTCAGATACATTCAGGACCCAGTTCATGCCTAGTACTTGCCGATCAGTGGTGAAGAGGATAAAGGTAAAAGTTAAGTAACAGTGCGTAACAGAGACGTGACCGACCGCCTAAGCGGCTAACGGGCCAAAAAGTAGCGAAGAGGATAAAAGTAAAAGTAAAAGTAATGAATTAAAGAAAGAAAAATGACAAATTATAACAAAAATTGTGGTAGAAATAAAACGTTTTGTTTCTACAACGAATTTTAAGCTTTCGCTCTCTTGTGCCATCTAATATCTAATATACTATAGGAATAGATGTGGCTCTGTCTGTCTGTCTGTCTGTTCTGGGCAGCCGAAACGGCACAATCGTTTTTCATCAAACTTGGTGGAAAAATCGCAAAAAATTCCTAGAGTGGAACAAACCTGGTTCCATGTCGATGGTTTCTTTAGGAAGGCACTAATTAACCATTTTATTTACGCTGGAAAAAGATGCAAGTCTACGGACTTGGCGCACCCTCATTCGCTGTACGCTGCCAGCCGGACAGCGGTTGCGCTCTAGCCCAGCACGAGCATTCAAACTTTCACCGGGCATGAAGGGCCAGCGATCACTTGTATTCCATATAGAAGCGAATCAACCAATGGATATTAGTTGTCCTGTACATAACAAAGGGGGACCAGTTTGCCCCTATACAGTGGGGCAACGAGGTATCAAAACATGGCAATTCATCAGTGACTACAATACTTATCAATGTCGATATAACTCCACAGTAGTCACAGTACCTGCATGTAAAAGAACTAAAAAACAGTGAGCAACATTAAAATTCTAATAATAAGTCAGCCGGTATTGGTTGATATGTTTGTCCAAGGTGACGTCACAAGACACATATGTACAAGTGAGAGAAAAGTAAACTTAAGTGTGTCGAGCTAGTCGTGCTGTCTCCGACATCCAGATATGTGAAAAAGGATAACATACAAAGGGGACAAATTATAGAAAAAGTAGGAGCTGAAGAAAGACATGAGTAAAATAGGAATATAAATATATATTTTTAGTTAATTAATTGTGCACAAAAGGTGACAAACCCATCAGAAAACACTCGGCGTATCACAGTGTAAGATGACAAGAATATTATAATTAGTCAACAAGCAGAGTTTTCCCAAATGTCGGCAAAACTGTAGAACACAACTTAAGGGGGAAATAAGAGAACCTCACCCAGACCCACCAAAGTGTGGGTAGTGTACCAGAAATACATCTTAATATCGGGTACAAGTAAATGGTGAGATACTGTGACCAGTGACACTCTCTGTGGCAGGAGGTCTCTAACAGTGGGACAATCGAGGCAATGTTGCTGAAAAATATTGCAGGAGAAATGTGGAACCATCCTCCTCCCCAGAGATTTACCTGATGATCCGAGACAATATTGTGTCTGCGAACCATAAGTCTAGATCGACAGTATTTATATGGGAAGGAAAAAAGCTTATCGCGATGTCGAATAGATAGACTACCAAAGAACCTCACACCATCACGCCATATACCCTCACTTAACCTCATACCCTCACACACTCAACCTCTCGTCAACTTCATACTCTCACACAAACTCGTAACTTCATTTGGCCTCATATTATCACATAACCACATACTGTACCTCCAAACAAATTTAGATTCTCATGTAACCTCATATTCTCATAACCTTATACTCCCACGCGGACTCATAGCTTCACATGACCTCATACTCTCACATAGCTTCACATGACCTCATATTGTCACATAGCTTCACATGACCTCATATTGTCACATAGCTTCACATGACCTCATATTATCACATAGCTTCACGCCTTCTTACAACCTCACATCACAACATCCTTACTCATGCCTTACAACTGTCCATTTTAGAGCCTCTAATCCTCACAGCCTTTCATCCTCACATAATCACGCCGGCACAACAGCCTCCTCACAGACATACACCGTCACAGTAGTCTCACACACCCTCACACACATACACCGTCACAGTAGTCTCACACACCCTCACAGACATACACCATCACAGTAGTCTCTTTTATCCTCTTCGCCACTGATCGGCTTGTTAGCCGCTTGGGCGATCGGTCACGTCTCTGATTACTTTTCCTTTTCATTTATCTTCTTCACCAGAAGATCGGCTCGCTAGCCGCCCGGGCGATCGGTCACGTCTGTGTCATGCACTGTTGGCACACACCCTCACAGACATACACCGTCACAGCAGCGTCACAGCAGCCTCACACACCCTCACAGATATACACCGTTACAGCAGTGTCACAGAAATACACCGTCACAGCAGCGTCACAGCAGCCTCACAGACATACAGCGTCATAGCGGCCTCACACACCTTCACAGACATACACCGTCACAGCAGCCTCATAGATCCTCACAGATATACACGATCACAGCAGCGCCACACACCCCCACAGCAGCGTCACATACCCTTACTGACATCTACCGTCACAGCAGCGTCACACACCGTCACAGAGATACACCATCACAGCAGCGTCACACACCCTTACAGACATACACCATCACAGCAGCGTCACACACCCTCAAAGACATACACCGTCACAGCAGCGTCACACACCGTCACAGAGATACACCATCACAGCAGCGTCACACACCCTTACAGACATACACCATCACAGCAGCGTCACACACCCTCAAAGACATACACCGTCACAGCAGCGTCACACACCGCCACAGCAGCGTCACACACCGTCACAGCAGCCTCACAGATCCACACACCTTTACACCAGCATCACACTCAATAAAGTTATCCGGAATAGGAATATAAATAGAAATTTCTAAAGAAAAATCTTGCTATGAAACATCGTGCTGATGCTCTCTAATCATCACTGCGTTTCAGCAATTAAAGTAGTTAAGAGTCTGACACGCGCAAGACGTCAACAACTAAAACACTCAGATACATCAGAACATGGAGTACCGATGTCACCTGAGAGGTACTGTACACAAGTTATTCCTTTGCGTATAGATAAGAAAACCTATTTGATTTTCATACTTTGACAAAGACAATGAATACAAGAGACAGGGTACCACGAACTTTAATGTAGTTTTCCTTTAATCAGAGATAGTGATTTCTATTTTCATCATACTGTAGGTATCTCAGTATGTCACATTTCGTTCCCTAATTGACAAGTGATTTAACTTGACGTAATTTCAATTTAAGCTATGAATATAAATTTGACTGATTTCTTCTTCACTCAGTGTATACAAATTGGTCCTATTTTCGCTCGAGTCTCTGAATGTAATTTGGTCTCATTTTGTTTGCTTGGCGAATTTAAGCATCAGTGTCCCACATATACTATGTTAGATGTACGTACATGGCCGACCCATTTCCTATTGCTCACCAATGACTGGATTGACTGCTTCTCTCTCTGGTTGTCTGGTTGATTATCTGGCTTTTTAGTGAGGATTGAATAGATATATAGTTCATTCTTGAGATGGATCGATCACTGGTTGATTGGTCGACTAATTTTTTGAGTGGCTGACTGCCATCTTGCTGTTTTTCAATGTATGGGATCTAGGTGATTTTTTCTGTTCTCTCACTACATACTCTTAGGTATCGTGCTTGCCTCTTGCCACATGTGACTCGGGTTTGATACCCGCTTGCGTTTTATGTGAGAATATTAAGATTGCGTCTGGTGTTTCTGATAGCCTATTAACATGGTGTCTGGTGTTACTTGTAGCATAACACCATTGTGTCTCGTATTACTGATGGCATATTAACATTGTTACTGGTGGTATATTAGCATGATGTCTGGTGTTACTGGTATCAAAATAACATTATGTATGGTGTTACTGATGACATATTAACATGGTGTCTGGTGTTACTGATAGCAAAGAGCCGTAGAGAGAGTTCAATCAACTCGGTGACATGCGGGCGCTATGTTGTTACTCAGGTGATGAAGAAGTTTGCGTGCGTACTGTAGAGGATAATGATGATGTTTATTCAGTAAAATTATAATACATATTTACAATTTGATAAGCATGTTTATAAAATGTGTAGGAGAGCCCGAGAAGACTTCCCACTCACTCAGTAACAACATGGCTCCCGGTTTACTAGTAGCATAACATGTGTCTGGTGTTATTAATGGCATATTAACATGTCTGGTATTACTGGTAGTATATTAGCATGGTGTCTGGTGTTACTGATAGAGTAATAACATGGGATTTGCTGCTGGTATACGAGTAATGTGTGAGGCAGTAATTAACTACAGGTATATTATCCACTGCACTGTACCGTAGCGAGACGGTAAACCTCTCAGAAGCCTCCCAGAAAGTTTTAGAAGTGACGTTTGAATGATAGATAATCTTCTAAACAAAATGTAACATTGCTATTCTTTTTGTAGTTCTCATGCAAATAAAACCTCATTTAAAGATTTGTTTGTAAACTACTGCCACCATTTTAATGTTGAAAATAGGCTACACCACTTGCACACTAGGTAAAACCATATTACTCCCTTGATTGACAATTTATGTTACATTGAAGCTTATCTACTGTGGGTTTTTTTCAAAGTCGTAGTGCCATGATCTTTTAATGTAGGTTTCATTTCAATTAAATGTATTCTCTAGATTAAAATAATTCAGAATATATTAGGGAAGGGGTATTTACACGGCGATAAAGCCATTCACGCGTACCAGCCAGGTGGTAATGCAAATTTATATACTGTACTAGTGAAGGGCTCCAACGAAGTGTAAACAACTTGTTAGTTCAATATCGTTGAAAAAATTAAACTTTAAATTGGTGTAGGTCATATGTAAAATTCCGTAAATCTTACAGAGAACATCCATACTAGGGATAATGGATATATACAGTACTGTACAGTACAGTGTGTGACAATCACACACAAGACCTTAATGCAATTACATACACAAGTGGGCAGTGACGACGCGAAGTGGGGTATTGGGAAGTGTGACACCTCTCCAATAATTCTGCTTGTGGGTACAAGAATGGTTTGTGGCAGTTGTGGTCACAACAGTACAGGGTACGGGTGTAGAATGTTGTATGTGGCCAGTTGTCTAATTTCTATTTGCGTTTGTCTATTTTCTCTTTGTTAGGCTCACATACTGTACATGCGTACATGTAGGTCCTACATGCACCGGCTCCTGAATGTACCTGAACCCGCTCCAGTGTTGGTCAAGTCTTGTCTTGAAAGAGCTCACACTCGGTGCCGTCACAACACTCTCTGGTAGATTGTTCCAAGAGTTCACAACTCTCACCCCGAAAAAGTTTGCCCTCACAGTTTTCTGGACTTGCGGTTTCTTCAATCTTGAGCTGTGACCCCTTGTGGGGCGAGCGTCCGCCAGCTCCAAGTAAGGACACTCGACTGAGTAGTGCCCCTTGAGATGCTTATACACCTCAATTAGGTCACCCCTTGCCCGTCTGTAGTATAAGCTAGGCAAGTTCAGGCGCTCCAATCTCTCAGGGTAGTTGAGGTGCCGAAGTGCAGGCAACAGTCTGGTTGCCCTCCCTCCAAAAAAAATAAAGGTGTGCCTGGTGTGGTAAACAGTGATTAAGTTAGTAAATGGATAGAACATGTCAATTTTACTTTTGCAACATTTAATAACTTTTTTTATCCTCTTCGCCACTGATCGGCTCGCTAGCCGCCCGGGCGATCGGTCACGTCTCTGTCACGCACTGTTGGCAAGTACTGGGCATGCACCGGCTCCTGAATGTACCTGAACCCGCTCCAGTGTTGGTCAAGTCTTGTCTTGAAAGAGCTCACACTCGGTGCCGTCACAACACTCTCTGGTAGATTGTTCCAAGAGTTTACAACCCTCACTCCGAAAAATGCATTAACCAATGTTAATACCCAATCAGCATGCTCACATGTCTCATTACACTGGTAACATACTACACACACACAAACACAGGCACTGCAACAGAACAATAACAATCCACAAACATTGATCACACAAGTTACACAAACTTGACATAAGTTGGCCTACTACTTCCATTCTAGGCTACACAAGCCAGGAGTTTTTGCTGTAATTTAGACCGTTTGGTGTCTTCTTTTAACTGCCTTCAGATGGCAGGAAATGCTGTCAACTAGTTATGGCCCAGGTATATTCCTTTAAGTAGGCTTTGACAAAATTATTCCTAGATATCTAAAGTTGGATGACAATAACCTACTGACCGAAAACTGACGATATATATAAATTCTTGTTTTTGAATAATCTGGTGTTCTCGCACAATGGGATTAAATGTTTTATACACAGCGGCCGCTTAACGACGCCACCGTCACAGATCGCAGAAGGATAAACAAAATTACCATGGAGTGAGCTATCCTTCTAATGGATAGAACCGATGAACTGACGCACCTCGGATAACAGCCACAGGAACACAAGCGAGCACCTGAAGCTTTCTGGTCTGTCAACCGTCGTCTTAATACAAACTGCTTAATCTTAACTGTAATTATGGTTTATTTACTGTTGAGCAGTGGTTAGCATTTTCTCTACTTCAATCCTTATTCCTCTGTCGAGAGAATCCTCAAAATGCCTGTCGTGTAATGTATATCCAAGGGTGAAAGGGTAAATTTGTATGCACACAACTGTTCGAAAGTAAAAAATATGCTAAAACTTTAGATCGGTAAATTTGCATTGTCACACCGTTCTGTTAGAAAGTCAAAAATATATTTTTCTAGTGTATTTGTGTGTGTTTAGACCGAATATGACCTTCATTTCTGGCGGAAATTAGCGTTTTTTTTTCGATTTTTTTTCGTTGGACGTTTTCCGAAAAAATAATGGCAAAATACACCATAAAACGCCAGAAAAACAAAAATCAAACCTAACCTAACCTAATTGACTCTCACCATATGATGGAATCACCTATTTCTTACCTTATTGGCCTGGTTCTTGTTCGTCGTTGGATTCTGAGATTCTTACACAATGTCACAAATGTTGGTCTTTGCGATATTTACATTCAGTCTTGCTCTTAGTACACTTTACTGAGGTTGGAAGAACCCCATGCGATCGAAAAAATGCTACAGTTTCTTCGTCTTTTTCCCAAAAAATCGCAGTCAGCTCCATATAATTGAAGTGACGCCCATCGCAGACTGCTATGGTCGGAACTGAAGTTACTGAACTTGAATTTCGAAATAGGAGACCCAAAATAAAACTCGAATTTGATTGGGCCAAATATACCGCGAATTAACCACAAATCATTTTAATTGGTTTCAAAAACAAAAACGCTTTTGATTGGCCGCATGACGTGTGCAGGAACGCATACGCGTGATGATTTATGAAGGAGATGCAGGAGACACGCAGTGTTGGAGGAGAGGCAGACGATAATGGCGGAAGATTAATGTTAGATTTACCTGTAGAGAAAATTTTGGATAAGCTATCTCCGTTATTATACATTTCCCCCGGTAATGTAATAGATGAAAATTATCTTATAATTAGTCGTCTTATTCGAATATGATAATAGATTAGTGGTAGGAATGAACGGTGTGTAAACGCAATAATACCTTTAGATCGGTTATAACCTTCATTACCGTTGGAAATTGGCCGTTTTTTTATTGTTTTATTTTTTTGGTGGGGTATTTTACGACAAAAATTATGGCTAAGCGAATACAAAATACAAAAAAAAATGCTAGAAAACATAAACTTGACCTAACCTAACGTAATCTAACCTGACTCTGACCATATGATAGAATCACTTATTTCTTACCTTATTGTCCTGGTTCGTCTTGACGATATTTACATTCGTTCTTGCACTTAGGACACTTTACTGAGGTCGGGAGAACACCATGAGATCTAAAAAATGCTATAGTTTCTTCGTTTTTTCCCCAAAACTCGCAATCGGCTCCATATAATTGAAGTGACGCCCATCGCAAACTTCCATGGTCAGAAATGAATTTGAATTTCGAAATATGAGACCCAAAATAAAAATCAAATTTGATTGGGCCAAAAATACCACGAATTATACCACAAATCATTTTAATTGGTTGCCCCCCAAAAACGCTTTTAATTGGCCATGTGACTTGTACGGGTACGCATGCGCGTGATGATTTATGAAGGAGACATGCAGTGTGGGAGGTGAGGTAGGCAATAATGGCGGAAGATTAATGGAAGAAAATAGAGAACATTTTGGATACGCTACCTCCGTTATTATACATTTGTGATGGTAATGTAAAAGAATAAAATTATCTTATAATTAGACGTCTTATTCGAATATGATAATAGATTAGGGGTAAGAATCTTGTGTGCGGAAATGCAATAATACCGGCGAAAGTATCGTTTCGGTCATCCACCTATTTGGAAGTTGTTCAAAATATAAAAAAGAAACGATAGGAAAAATGTAATTTCAACCTAACCTTAAAATCCTAAAATTCGTTGGATGACCAAAACGATAATAATATCTATCCAAGCTGGTAAGTTCTTATGTTTGGGGAAATATTTACATTATTTACGTCGACGATGAGCGTCGTCTTATTAAGATTTTGGGGTAATTTCTGAGAACACGGCTACCACCAGAAATTTGATTTTGTTAATTTTTTCCACATATGATCTTATCATTATAGTAAATATTTTAAGAGGCAACTAATTTTTATTTTAGGTATTATTTCACTTGTTGCCACTAAATGAATCTTGGGAATTTTATAGTTGCAATCAGTAATTTTGACGATTCTAACAGAAAGACAATTTCCTTCAATGGCAATTCTGGCGAAAATTACGTATAAGTGGGATATTTAACATTTTATTATCTATGAAAACTAGGTCAATTTACAGTAGTGCACCGTTCTTTCTTTGGGTATAAGAAATATGTATAAAAAGCCATAGAAAATCACCCCAAAACAACCTAACCTAACCTTTGGAAACCTTACTTAACCTATAAAAATCCTAAAACTATAAAAAACTTACCTTATTCTTAATTTGGATGTTTAGTATGTGATGGTGGTGTTGTTTTCTGTGTTCAGATGAGATGGGACCCATAAACTTGAAAGCATTTATTAACCTTTATACAAGTTAGGAAAGGTTAGGTAAGGGTTTCAAAGGTTTGTTTGGTGTTCTTTTTAATATTTTGCCCCACATATTCTCTCTAATTCAAAACCCTGCCCACTTTGAACCACCATGATTGTTGGCAATTGTGGGGGGGGGTTCATATCTCCATAACAGCTCATAGCTCATTTGCACTGGAAATGAAGGTCATATTCATTTGAAACTTCACAAGAAAAGAAAAAAAAAATTGGGGTACAGTAATCTCCATGTTCAACCTAAAACGAACCTTTACCTAAAATACTTACTACAAGATAATGATAAGAAAATCTGTGGAAAAAATTAACAAAATCGAACAACTCCTTCTGGTGGTAGCGGTGTTCTCATACATTATAAAAAAAATAAATAAAAAATAAATAAATAAATAAAAAAACATTCTTATTTGGGTAAAGGTGTCCAGAGAAAAAAGTTAGCAGTAGAAATAACTACTGGAATTGAACCAAAAATTCTGGAGGTACTATTTGCATGACACTAAACACGAAAATGGAAACGACAATGCACAAAACATGAAAGAACCAGACCTAACCATCGATATCTATCAAACTTTATCTAACTTCCTGCTAACTAGCCCATGTTGACAGCTGAACTCTAGCAGATGGTTTTAATCTCCACAAGCATAAGTAACTTGTGAAACAATAAAAAATAACCTATACACAGAATGCCATAACTAAGTACAGTACAGTACTGTACTTAAATTCCAGATGGCGAGCTTGTCTTGTCTCTGACTCAAGAGTCTGTCCCTTAGGGGAAGAACATTAAGTACTGTACTGTACAGTACTGTATAGCAACATACTGTTCACTATACACCAATTATATTCCAAAGAAATTGGAAAGGTATCAAAACCCATAATATGGGATACAAATCCAACTACTGTATATGAGTTTCATCATTTATACATACAATAGGTTTAAGAATCTATTGTACCAAAAGAAAAAAAAAGGGATTTACGCACCCGATCGATTCACGAACCTGGAACTGAAGCCTATAACATGAAGAAGAAAAAAAGGACATTCAAGCCAATGTACAGTACAGTCAGTTCTGCTATAACGCGATAGTTGTGTTCTTGTAAAACATCGTGTTATAGAAATTTGCGTAATAGAAATAACAGGGCTTATGGAGAAAATAGGGTTAGGTGCAGATTACTACTCGAAATCGAAAAAAATTTAGTAGTTAGCCTAACACAAAGGATAGCACAGTAAATGTAACACTTTACCTTGAAAAAATATGAATATAATTTGATGGGGTAGATGGGTGATTTTGAGGTAGATAACATCGAGCTTCTCTTCAAGGGTTATAGCCTTTCTTTTACGATCATCACTGGGAATGCGATCGCCAGAACGCTTCTTGGAGATATTCTTCTTTACCATATTCACAGTTAATACCACAAAATTGGAGAAATAGTAAGCAAAAATCGCGTTACAGCAAACAAGTGTTCGCGTTATACAAATATCGTTCCTCTATTCATAAATCGCGTAAGAGCCAATTCGCGTTGTCAAAACACGCGTTATAGCAGAACTCACTGTACCAGTATATGATAGTAAATCCCCTAATTAGGCTCTCACTTATTTAAAATTTAAAGGAGACCAGATTCAGAATTTATTAGTTTAACCACTTAGGTAAACAAACGGCATCACAGGATATTTATCGCCAGAATATTTACAATAAATAATTCATTTTTTCGGTACACACCATGTAGAGATATGAAATTAGTGTCATATGATTATTTTTTGCAGCTTTTTGCCCTGCAATTTCCCTCGTCTTTCATATCCTGTCCACAACAGGTGATTTATTATCATAGAGGAAAAGTAAAATAATATTAAAATAAAAAATTGTTGTATCGTTTTTATTTGTTCGTATCATTCTAAGAACAACTGTGGAAAATATGATCGAAGTATATAAAATTTATGAAACTTCCAGTTGTATTCAAAGGTAAGAAGTGTACATTAGTGTACACAAAAATCATGAACACTATTGCATTGAGGTTATTAATGGCTTTTCTTCTTTCTGTGATTTGTGAGTTAAACATTGAAGTATTGTGCAAACTGGTTAATATTCCTAGTGACCACTCATGAAACTTTACATTGATTCTTATACTCCATAGCTTTTCTGGCAGAAATTTATATATACTGCATATTATTATTATTATTTTGTTTTACGGGGAATAGCCCACCTGCGCACAGGTACTCGGCCCACAACAGGGCCTGGGGAGGGGGGGAGGATGAATAAGAGTAAAAAAATAAATAAAAAATAGAAGAGAAAAATACTATTAATCTACACCACGAAGATGCCAGAAAACCAGCTTTTTTTAAGTGAGACAGATTGTTATAGTATGGAAACAGAAAAAGACAGAGCATTCCACAGTTTGGCTGTGTGAGGAAAGAAGGATGTGAATTTGAATTAGTGGGAAGGTTGGTTTCTGTCTGTGAAAGTTGCTCATTGGAAGATTGGTGTGTAATTCAACGAGTATATGAGAGAGAACCCACAGTTTTGGGCATCTTAAGGTTTCATGGTGTTCTCTTTGGTTCAGTAAAGTGTCCAAGGTGTAATTCAGACTGTCTGTATTGGCAAGATTGCCATCTTTGTTATTGCAGAAAAGGACAAATTCCCAAAGAAAAAGAGAACTCATCCTTTGCTCGAAACATGTTCCAAGCTCTTCATAAAGATCACAACACTGTACTGCACCACTTCCTCCTTTAAGTGGCATTACTTTATCCTCCTCCGTCTGTTAATTAAGGTAAGTTTTAGTTAGGTAAAGTTCGGTTTATAATGTACACCAGAGGTCCAAGGGGGCCAGAGCCACACCCCCTGGATAGGAGGTTAGGTCAGGTCTTTCTGGTTTCTATTGTTAGGTTAAGTTTGATATGTATACTGTACTGATATTTGAGTTGTTTTTGTGTTTTTTTACCCAACAATGTTGGTAATTGGAGGGTCATATCTCCAAAAGTACTAATTTTCCCTGGAAATAAAGGTCATATGCATGTGAAAGCATGAAAACCATTATGCAAGTGATATCCCTGTTAGCCAGAATAATTGGTGCAGAGCTCTTCCAGGTAGCTATGGTAGACTTTCTGTTAATGAGATAACTTTCTCAAACCTGGAAAAATCCCACATCCCTGAAAATTTTCTGGATACTGGGAAAAGTTTCCCAATACTGCGTATCTTGCACGAACAGACACTATCGCACATCCCCAGATTGTTTCCAGGTGCTGGGGAAAGTTTCTCAAGATTCTAAACTACACATCAGTGCTGGGGAATGTTTTCTGAGAGTTGACTAAACTATATATATCTCACACGGACAGACACAGAACTGTATTTTTGTATGCAAACACCACTGTACATGTACAGTACAGTAATTGTAAATAAACAAAATACTGTAATGTATAATACTGTACCTGTATACACAATACTATATAAATAAACAAAATAAAATGTGCACTGTACTCACCATGAGATGCTGTCGTCTTGAGCTTGTGATGCAGGCAGGCCAAATGTTGATATGATGATACAGGATGGCCTGCTTTGTTCTATACCATCTACTGTGACATCTGGTGGTACTAATTGTTTGGCTATGCCCCATGTGTAAGCGTCCTGCGGCATCGAACGACCAGGGCGTAGATGCGCGACCTACTTTCTGAAGCGACCTGTGTCCCACCTGCCAATGTGAACATGCCGTCTATACAGTGCAGACATATACTGGTACAGTACTTTTAGAAAATAATGCTTTTCAATGTGTGGCACCTGTAGAGATACCCAGGAAAAAACATTCCATATATCAAAGGAAGATGATAGTACCTGTAGTAGGCGAACTTCACCATCCCTTCAAGGAACTTCGCCAAGATCCAAAGAAGTTTCACGAGTGCACCAGAATGTATTCTGATTGAGGACAAGGCCTACCCACTTTGTTTATACAGTAAAGCCTCGAATAACGACAGTAATGTGCCCTCCAATATTGCAGTGTAAGGTGAATCATCGTATCGCAAATCATTAATTACCATTAAAATAAAGCAGTAATAATGAGATGCGTTCCCAAGTGTAACCTTTTCATATATTTTGTGTGGCATTTTACCCTCTTTTCCCCCAAAACAGTACAATTATTGAAATTGCAAACTACTGTATATTCTCTAAATAATGTTTTTGAATGCACCTTATACAATATAAATGAATAATAATATGGTCATGCAAGAGGAGATGGGACGCCATTGTTTTCGTTAGTGTTTACAGTCGGGAGTCCGGGACAATAGTTCTACACAAGAAAATGAAGAAAATAAGACCCCTGGTTGTAGCTGTAGTAAAATTAATGTAAAAAAATGAATACAGTCAGTCCCCGACTTACGACGGGGTTAGGGACCAATGACCAGGTCGTAAGTCGAAAATGCGAAAATAATACATAGAAAATCTAAAATGAATTATGGTTCAATAAAAGTAATCAATAATGAAAAATGAAGAAAGTGTTACTGTGCACTTACCTTTAATGTAGTCAGCTGAATGCACACAGGCCCTCAATAATTTTTTAATTAAACATGGAGACTACATTACAGCAATTGGATGAAGCAGAGGAGGAGACAGGGCTGGGTGGGTCATCAATTTCTCTTTCTTCATACAGGCTAACATACTTGCTTGTTGAAGGTATTGGATCATCTTTAGGGAGTGAAGAGGCAGCACTGGTGGGGCGTGAGGTGACAGCAGTGGGGGACTTCTTAAAATATATATCCAATTTAGACTGCACAGTTTGCCTTTTCTTTTCATTGTAAATCTCCTTGTAGCAAGCAAGTGCATCTTGGATCATTCTGTCAACTTTGGCAAATCACTCGAACATTTTGATCCATTTCATCAAACATTTGCATCCCCTTATTAATAGTAGCAAATGTCTCTGCCATTTGTTTCACTGAAAACTTTTTGGGGGGTGCATGTTCTTCTACATTTTGTCTCTCTTCTTCCTCTGCAATTTTCTGTGCATCCAGTTCAACAAGATCCACGTTACTAAGCTCTTCTGCTACACTTTCAACCAACTGCTCAACATCATTATCAATTTATAACTCCAGCTGCTTACCCAACTCCACTATCTTGTTACTAATCTCAGAAATTGCTTCATCTTCATGAAATCCTTTGACAAATAAAAAGTTATAGCATCAGTCTCGTTTTTTTGTGTCGGACCTCGTAGTAGAGTATTAGGAAACTTAACAGAGGTTGAAAATGTTTAATTATAAAATAAATTCAAGTTCTGAAACTAGGGTTGCAAATCTATTCACTGGCAACTATTTTCAGGGAACTTTCTTTTGGGGAATAGGGCCGAATCATTAGCTTTTTTTTTAACTACAGTAATTACCACCTTTAGCACACCTGAAAAAGTGCAGAAGATGAAATGACATTACCCCAGTGTTGTAGTCTTCTCTATCATAATTGCTTTTGGCTTTTACAAATGTTGAACCATTTATATTTAGGTTTTAAATGAGTACCGGTAATATTTCAGTCATACTGTACTTGCTCATTTAATTCTACTGTACATGTAAATTTTGACGTCATTGAACACTGCTGGCAAGTTTATCTTGAGACACACTTGTTACTGAACTTGTAAAACTTATAATACTTGAATTATTCATTATAGTTTAGGCTTAAAATGACACTAAGATTCTTTACATAGACTATACCCTTTCCACGATAACCTGGCCCGTAAGCCACGCCCCTCGTCTATAGCTACAAATAGCTGATTGGTTTCCCTGAGCATTTTACCTAACCCTGGACTACTCGTATTTATATCAACCTTTTATGATAAATATTTAACATTTTCTAACATCCTTTATGAAGTGCTAATGCCTTGAAATCATTTGCAGTTTAACATTCCTGATATTTAACATTATTTTAGATAACAAGTCTGCTTACCAATTGTGAACACATTTAGTTTGAAATTTCTATGAACCAATCGGCTATTAGTATAGAAGAGGGGCGTGGCTTACGGGCCAGGTTAGCGTGTAAATACTATAATTTTGAAGTATTTACAGACACCAAGAGTTTAAATCTTGTTCCCCATTTGTTATTATAGCAAGACACATTTGAGACTGTTTTCTTTCATCTCTTCTTAGGCTCATTCTTCTCCTCCTGTCATCTATTTCTTGAATGCCCTATTGCTTCTGCACTGCTTAACCTGAGTTACTATTTATAATAATGACGTGATAGGATATTTGAATGAATCTTTATCACAACTTCCATTGGGACATCTCAGATGAAGTTGCAGTCCCCTTATATCTGAAAGTCATTATTGAATTTTATTCCATTTTGATGATATCATCAAAACTGTTATGATTCCCACCCACTACAGTATCTGTAGTCTCATTAGCAATGAAAAAAATAAAGATTTATTTCCTTTGTTTGTCTTATGTTATTTTGGCAGTTGCTGAACCATAAAGGCTAAAATATTTTTGGATACAAGTACCTGTACAGGGGTATTGTATTATTATTTTATTATATTAAGTAGATATGGCAGTGGTCAAGGTACAGTATATGAATTATAGAAATGTTTTATTTGTTCCTGGGTTTTCTCTCCACAGATATGGGCTGCAGGACAAGTAACAAATGGGTATGCAAGCAGGACATAGTATAGTATTGCCCAGAAGATTAGGTGTAATGGAAACTGATACAATTAATTTGCCTTAAGTGAAAAAAGTGAAAGTTTTCCCAGTGATTATATTGTATAAAAACCATCCTAAGAAATTAAGGTTGGATACTACTGTATGTACAGTACTGTATTCTATTCTTCCACTCAAGAAGAGAGTGTTGTGATGGCACCGAGTGTGAGCTCTTTTAAGACCAGACTTAACCAACACTGGAGAAGGTTTAGATACATTCAGGAGCCAGTGCATATCCAGTACTTGCCAACAGTGTGTAACAGAGACGTGACCGACCGGCCAAGCGGCTAACGAGCAGATCAGTGGTGAAGAGGATAAAAGTAAAATTAAGGGCAACTGGAAATACAGATACTGTTCATGAAAAGCAAAATTTTAGCAAACCCTCTTGCAAATACTGCTGTTCTGTCTTACTGTATTCATTTGAAAAATTTCAATGCAGTACCATGCATTATATCGTTTTATCAAAGATACTCCACATAAAATAACACCCAGTATCTCAATATTCACTTCATCATCAGTAATAATTACAAGTGCAGTACATTATCAGCAGCCAGTGGCTTGACACACTCATCAACTTCAAAATTGATACAGGTATAGCATAAAGACCCTATTTATAAAAGGAAGTACTGTACTCTATCTGAGAAAGAATTTTTGTGTTCAAAGTATCTGGCATTTCTGTAAAGTGTTAGAATATCACACTAGTTTGTATGAAAGAGAAATCTTGCAATTGCATAGTTGTTTTGAACACACTGCAAAATCTACATCTTATGAAACACAAGGCATCATACAGGAAAGAGACCATTTTGGTGTTTAATGTCTTTTTCCCATCAGTTTAATACAGAAACACTCATGGAGGATCAAACTGAAGAGAAACTTTATCAGTGTCATGAGTGTCTTAAAGACTTTAACAAAAAATGTCATCTAGTAACACACATGAGAATTCATACTGGAGAGAGACCATATCAGTGTCCAGAGTGTCTTAAAGGTTTTACTCAGAATTCTGATCTCATCAGACATATGAGAGTTCATACAGGAGAGAGACCCTATCAGTGCTCAGAGTGTCTCAAAGGCTTTACTCAGAATTCTGCTCTAGTAAACCATATGAGTGTTCATACAGGAGAGAAGCCATATCAGTGTCCAGAGTGTATGAAAGACTTCACACGTAAATCTCATCTAGAAACTCACATGAGGGCTCATAAAGGAGAGAGACTATATCATTGTACATTGTGTCTTAAAGACTTCTTAAGAAATTCTGATCTAGTAAAACATAATAGAGTTCATACAGGAGAGAAACCATATCAATGTTTAGAGTGTCTCACAGGCTTTTCACAAAAATCTTCTCTTGTTAAACATATGAGAGTTCATACAAGAGAGAAACCTTTTCGGTGTCCAGAGTGTGAAAAAGGTTTCTCACAAAGTTCTGATCTAGTAAGACATATAAGGGCACATACAGGAGAGAAACCTTATCAGTGTCCAGAGTGTGATAAAGGCTTTTTACAAAATTCTGATCTAGTAAGACATACGAGAACCCATACAGGAGAAAAACCTTATCTATGTCCCGAGTGTCCTAAAGGTTTTACACAAAAGGGTAACCTACTAAAACACATGAGAATTCATGTAGGAGAGTGAAACTATTGTTTGAAGAAGAGTGTCCATCAGGTGTCGGGGAAAAATTTTATTTGCACCTCTGAAGTTTATACAATAGAGAAACTCAAGCTGTTTTAGAATATGTTAAAGAAAGCAGTTCTCTCATGTAACATATATGAGAGGAAACTAATACTGTATTGTTATTATTCAGAAGACCTTTAAACTTTAGATACTTCATTTGATATAATACTGTATTTAATTCATTCAGAAAAACTTAGTGTGGTACTTAGTACCAGTAAGTCTAAAGAATATGATAAAGAAGGGTGTGGGCAAACACTGGATTAAAAGTACCTCAGATTCCAGAGTACAATGGTCCCTCGGTTAATGAACACAATTTGTTCCAGTGGGTCCTTCGGTAACCGAAAATTTCGTTAACCGAATCCATTATTTCAATGGGATATTGTGTAATTGATTCCAGCTCACCGAAAAGTACATGCAAAGTAAAAAAAAAATGCAGTAAAGTACACTTACTTTGAGGTGTGTATGTAGAAAGTTCCTGGTTGATGACGATGATGGGAATTAGAAGTGGGGGTGGAAGAGAAGGAAGTGGGGATGGAGGAGAAATCACCTTTCAGGGGACCCATGCTTGATGCTGTCATTTCACCAATAAAATTTTAAGTTCACTAGGTGTAATTCAAGATTATTTTATTTAAATCAACACTGCACTGCGCTATATATTATCAATATGTTAACTAAATTTTAGAATGACCAATAATTTCAATGTAAAAATGCAAAAATATTCAAGACACCAACAAAATAGATGTTCACTCTACTGTCAACAAAGTCAAACTGACGTCTGGAGGCCGATTCAAGCGGCTGATGGGCGCACAAAAAACTAGTTCCCTGTACTGCATATACAGTACAGTGGTCCCTCGGTTAACGAACACGATTCGTTCCAAAAGGTTGTTTGTTAACCGAAAATTTCGTTAACCGAAACCATTGTTTCAATGGGATTTTGCGTAATTGGTTCCAGCTCACCGAAAATTACATACAAACTAAATATAAATGCAGTAAAGTACACTTACTTTGAGGTGTGCATGTAGAAGGCTCCGGGTTGATGATGATGAGAATTAGAAGTGGGGGTGGAGGAGAAGGGAGAAGAGAAGGAAGTGGGGATGGAAGAGAAGTCACCCCATGCTTCATGCCACCATTTCACCCAGAAAATTTTAAGTTCACTTGGTGTAATTCAAGATTATTTTCTTTAAATCAACTCTGCACTGCACTATATATTGGCAATATGTAAAATAAATTTCAGAATGACCAATAATTGTACTGTAAAAACGTAAAAATAGTTTATGTTCAAGAGAGTCTCAAGCAAGATGCTACCTCCACTGAGCAGGGACACACACTGATGCCATTCTAGGTGAGTCAAGTGGCTGTTTGGCATGCTAAAAACTAGTTCCCTGTACTTCAGTTATGTTAAATAATTGTTAAAATTACTAAAAAATTTAATATAAGACTTGGAAAATTATTGAATAGTACAACCTTCTTGATATTTACTCAATGACTTTAAGCCCTAAAACCGATTACTGTATTGGCGGACTAATACTCCAGCTGGCGAGCAGGCGAAAACATGTTGACATGATTTCGTAAGGATTCAATAACCGAATTTTTGTTCGTTAATCGAGTTGAAGATTCTTATGGAAGGCAATTCGTTAACCGAAATTTCGTTAACCGAGGGATCACTGTATTATCAATATGTTAATTAAATTTTAGAATGACTAATAATTTTAATATAAAAAATGCAAAAATATTAAAGAGCACAACTTTCTTGATATTTACTCCACTGGAAACGAATGTAAACACAGAACAGATTACTGAATTGGCAGACTACCCCATCAGCTGATACTCACAACAAAACGTGTGTTCGTAAGGATTTCGTTAATCAAAGTTTTGTTCGTTAACCGAATTGAAGATCCTTATGGAAGGTAATTCGTTAACCAAAATTTCGTTAACCGAGGGACCACTGTACAAGAAGGACAAAACATAATTTTCTGCATCGCTGACATATCATAGGCTAAACAAATAAAGTTTTGCCATGCTGCTCAACCCAATTCTGCTACATGTATATGCACTCAATAGTACTGTACACATTAAATGGGTTTAGGGTTATTGGGGCCAACAGGTCAATACTAATATTGTTTACAGGAGCATTTCGATTTATGAAAGGGATATGTTCCTGAAACCCTTTGGTAAATTTAAACCTTTTTTTTTCATTACAGTAACTACTGTACCATTATTTGAAAAATGTCCCCAAACATAAAAATATAGTTTTTTAACTAGTTTTTTGTGGGAAACAATACTTCCAAGCATATGTATTAATCATAATAACATTATTAAACAGTACAGTACAGTATCAAGTTTATTTAATCCATATTCGAATATATTCTACTCGCAGGAAACTGTAGGTGACCAGTGCTTAGGGTTATGGTGTGGAAGGATGGTGGTAGATGGTGTTCCTGGAAGGATGATGGTGTAGCAGCTGGAACATCTGCCTCACCACTACCACCACCACCACCATCATCATCACCACCATCAGGTTCAAAAGCAGAACTCACTCACACATTCACCACTTCACACACTCACTCCCTAGCCTGCACTAAAGTACAGTACTGTACACTGTACAGGGATGCTCTCAGATGCCTGTGTCAGCAACTCGGCATCTTCAGATGCTACGAAAAAATACTTGAAAATTTTTCCATTGAAGCAGGGTTTTCATTCGTATACTGAAGTGCTGAAACAAAAGAAAATATTTTGTATTCGTGAATTTTTGTAAATGCAAGGTTTTATAAATTGAAGCACGAGTATGCTTCAAAGGCTGTGTAAAAAACATAACAATAAAAATTATTTTTGCTTTGGCCAGTTGCATCAAAATATGTATGCTATGTAGCCCATTAGAAAGTGTGTTTTTTGTTGTGAGACCTATTAGTGGCCTCTGTTATATGGAAGTAACAGGCAACTTCAAGTGGATAATGATGGCTGCCTTCATGGGTCATGTTCTTATTCTAATCCACCACAAAAAATGGATTTATTAAGCCCAAGCCATTCTTCAAAACAATATCCATAAAGAACTGAATACAGTACAGTACATGTGTACCTGTATTTAGCCCAGTACCTGTAAGTATTTGCCTATAGTGAAGTCAGAAGCTCTTGTGATAGGCTATCTCTGTGAACACATATATCATTGAACAGTGTAACAAAAACTTTTAATTCTTTGTAGTGTAATGGGGTAACAGACAACCAGCAAAAGTTGAAACTAATAATTGCATTTATCCGGTACAGTAGATCAATGTCAAGACACATCAAGAGCAAATGACTTGGCTATGTGATATCTAAGCAAGTTTCTAGTTTTCTCAAGTGAAATTATAAAAGTTTTTTCTGCACTTAAAATACTTAATTTAGTGATATATATTTTTTAAATAAATCTTTATAAATACCATAGTTAGCGATGGTATTTACATTTCTTGTGTGTCCTTAGTTTCATTTATACAGTTCTGCAGAACATTAAAAATACATTTAATCATTGTGTTGATTTTCTAAAGTTATTTGTAATAAAAAAATTAAATTACATATTTCTATCATTCCTAAAATGTTTCCATTTATTTGAGGTGTAAGAGATGCATTAAGCATATGTTGATCTTGACACAGTGATTCACACTTTGTTACTGAGTGCCACGTGTCTGTTTGCTTTGGTCATTAAGTTATTCTGTGATCAGAAAATTCAATTTCCATTTACAGTGTACTGTATTTTACATAAACATTGCACATCTACCAAACAAGTCTCTTGGTATCAAATGTGCAACAACTTATGAACCTAAACACCAAAAAGTAGTTCCTATGCTGTTGAATAGTTACACAAATTCTTCTCTTTGGAATATCTCGGCTAAATTTTTTCATAAAAAACTGTTTGAATTAGATATTTAAGGTTGTAAAAGACTGATTGTGGTAAGGGAACTAGGAGGATGGTGGTGTTTATTATGGGGAGGTGGTAGTAGTACACAATGATAGGAGTATGGGAACCATGAAGGAGGTGATGGTGGTAGACAGTGATGATAATGAGGGTGGAGATGATGGTGGTAATGAGAGTGACAGATCATTACAGATACAGTAAGTCCTCACTTAACGTCGGAGTTACGTTCCTGAAAATGCGAAGTTATAGTATGAAACAACATTAAGCGGATCAATTTCCTCCACAAGAAATAGATAAAATACGGGAGTAACGTTCCTAAGCCGCCTTTTGCCCCATGAAATACATTACATATACAGAAAATCATTGCCATTTCTACAGAAAATAGTGCATGCATATACAACTACCGAATTAAGATTAAAGGAATTGTATAGGATTTTGAGGAAAAAACAACTCTGGACCGACTCCAAACCCACTTGCCATCAACTTTCTTTTAGAAAGCTAGGAGAATAAAGCAGGAGCTTCTTCCTTTCCTTATTTTCTTTTCAGGGTGAGGGCTGTGCCACACACTGCTGTCTGCACACTTCACCACCTTCCTCCATTTGGGCAGTTCCTCTGTCAGTCATCTATCCTCTGCAATTCTACACTCTTTCTAGGTTTATTTTCATTGTGTGTTTACCTAGTGCTTGGTCTGCCTCTTTTCTTTTTGCCTTCCACCTCTGTCTACAATGCTTTTCGGGATATACAGGTATTGGAAAAATTAAACCCAAGGTAAATGGGTTAATGTACTTGTTTTGTTTTATTAAGCACAATAGATTGACAGTACAATACTACAGTGGAGTCTCGATAATTTGCGGGTTAGGTACCAGAAGACATAGTAAATATCAAATCATAAATTATATTTTAATTGATTTAAATGGAAATAAATAGTTTGGTTCCAGAGACCAAGAAATACCCCATAAACTGTTTTAAACTGCTCTAATAGACACTAAACATTGTACATAATACATAAAAAATACAGTAACACAGATATTGTACAAAAAGTAGTTCTATACTGTATTACATAAACAGCTGCTTTCCTTCTCATAATTTTGTGTGGGTAACGCCATGGAGACGGCCAGGTGTTGGGCTGGCAATGACCACACTATGAGTACAATGGACCAGGAATTTAGCACTCTTGGGATTTTCATACTCAAATTTGCGCATGAAGTAAAAAATGTAAGTAAAATAGTTTTTTGTTTGCATATGAATGCTAAATATGCAAGATGCACATTTGGCAACATCAGCGTTGAACTGCCAACTATGTAGATTGCACTACAAGGTTACCACACCAGTCTCCCTTTTGTATTTAAAGGACCCAGGATATAACAGTGTTATGAGAGTTGTGAATCATACCTAGTGTTGCTGGCAAGGGTGGCGGGGTGGGAAACCGTAAAAAGTGCAAGGAGATTGCACCATGTAGTTATGGTGTGGCCTCCAGATGCCTCTCCCAGTGTCCCTGGCCCTTCAACAAGCAGTCC